AAGTTTGTTTTTTAGTCTTTTTTATATTTCTTTATTTATAAGGCTATATTTAGCAGTAATAGCTTTTATTATTGCAGTAGTATTTTTATTCTCCCTTTTTTAGAAGTTTAGGTAATTTTAGCAGAAATGTCTTACTTTTCTATAGTTTAAGTAGGCCTTGTCCTTTAACTATTTTTATTATTCCTTTATTAAAGGCAGCCTATTACGTCTTAAAACTTAGTTTTTCTTTAGAAGAGAGCTCTATGTATGCTTTATATAGCTAAGGTCTATTAGCTTTTTATTATATTATAAAAGCTTTTTCTTCTTAAAGACAAATTCTAGCTTCTAAAAGGTTCCCTTTAATTTTTTTTCTTTTTTACATTTTTTATAGTAGTTATTATAAGTTATTGCTTTTTTAATATAGTCTTTAAAAGTAGTTAGTTAGTTTATGTGCATAAACTTATCTTTTACTTTGTTATTTAGTCTATTATAAAACATACAGCATAGGGCTTTCTAGTTATTCTATTTACATATAGCTATTTATTCTCTAAAGTGTGCTGCATAATTTTAGACTAGTCTACTACCCTATTTTATGTTGTCTAGTCTATTAGCTGCAATTTTTTTTTATCTAAAGTTCTATAAATAGCTAATAAAGCTGCTTTAAAGTTCTTAACACTACTAAATACTTCTTTAGTTTTAGAGTTAAGTAGTGCGCTATTAGCTTTAAAGTTTATCTAATTATTAGCATAAAGTTAGAACTAGATTATAGAAAAGCCTTCTAAGTGTAATTTTATTTAAAAGATTATTTCTATATTAGTCTAAAATGCTTTCTTATTATATTATATATAAAGGTAGCATTTAGTAAAGAATAGTTAAAGGTCTTTTAATAATTTTTTAAAAGGCTTTAAAAAGGCTAGTTTTAAAGCTTTTTTAGCTATAACACTTACTTTATTTATTAAAATATTTTAAACTTTTACTAACTCTACTTGTAGTTTATGTATCTAGTAGGCTTAGGTAGTAGCTTTATAAGAGTTAATAAAAGGCAAGGGGCTTTATAAATTTATAGTTTTTTAGTAAAAGTTAGCTATTTTTTACTTAAGTTTTAATAGCTTACTAACTTTATTACTAATCTACTAGAGTTTTTTAATGTTGTTCTAGATTAAGTTAATCTGTTTTACAAGAACAGCTTTACTTTAGGTAAGAACTTCTATAGATCTTAATAGCGCAGCGTAGGCTATGTTAGAGTCTAAATTATGTTAAAAAGTTACTATACTTTTTAAAAAAAGTAGTGTTTAATGTTATAATTTTTACTTTAAAAAGCACTTAGGTCTTATTATGTTTCTAAGGGGGAAGTAGAACAGGTTGTAGGGGCTAATCTAGTAGAGTGTACAGTCCTACGTGCAGGCTATTAGGCTAATAGAGGGTGGTTTAGGTGACTAGATTATAGTTTGCCCTATGTGCAGCAGTAGAGAGGCTAGGGTTAAACAGTCCTTGCAGACAGAGTTAGAGGTATATATAGTGTAAGATATATAAATAGTATTACAGCTTTTTAAAAAGCTAAATGCTACTTAGTCTATGTAAAAAATAAACTAAACATTAAACACACCTTCTAAAGGTTGTTTAATATAGAAACTATATACATATGCTAGGGATGCTAAGGGGAGTTAGTAGGAGTTTATAGGAGCCTGCTAAGAGGGGCTCCTATAAGCTCCCTTAGGCTCCCTAAACTCGCGGCCTGTCCTCCTATTAGACAGTGCATTCTCCTATAATCTTAGGCAGCCGTGCCGCCTCTGCGTCCTCCGATTGGTCTGTAAGCGAGCCCTGCCCCAACCCAGCTAGATCGTGGAGCACTGTCGGTGGGGTTACGCTGGTCCAACCGTAGACCGTAACATAATGTAAGGCCGGGATAGCGCTTACGTGTAAGGCCGAGATGGTGCTTACGTGCGACGGGTATATATACTATTCTGTACACAATAATTAACGTTAGTTAATTATTTGCACCTTTTTAGTTGTATTAGCGTAGTGGTACAGAGCTCTGTCCTTACACTACTTAAGTAACTTAATATACTAGTTAGGTAAAAGCTAACTAATAGCCTTATTATAGAGACCCTACTAGTATTACTAGACATCTGCTGCATAGATATCTAGCACCTAGCCTTAGAGATATCTACTATTACTATCTTTTAGTAGAACAACACAACTATTTAAGCACCTTAGCTTAAATATATTAGTAGCATAGCTATATAATACTTAACATTGCCCTAATTAATACTAGCACAGTTTAAGCGCATAATATTATGTAGAAGATTGCTAGAAAAGTCTGTACTTTTAGGCGTATTAAAGTGCGTACAAATAATTATGTAAGTAAGTGCCTAAAGAATATAAAAATATATAGGCAGTCTAATTATCTAATCCCTTCTATTATATAGCTAGGACGCGCTGCGCTGCTTTTTTTTAAGACTATATATAAACTTAGTAGTTTTCTAGTTGCTTTATACTATTTATAGCTGTGTTTTAAAGCTTAGCTTTTTTAAATTTATAAAAATATTTAACTGCTAGAGCTAAATATTATTATACACTTTATAAGTCTTATTAATAACACTTTTATTAAAAAAATATTACTTCTAGATAATTTACTTAGCTAGGTTTTTTATATAGTAGGACTTTAATAGCTAGCATTAACAGCAACTAGTCCTCTAAGCTAATAAAGACCCTTAATATAGCAGCACTATAGATAGCAGCTATAGCGTGTAACATATAGCACAATGTAATTTACTTACTTATATAGTCCTAAATTATGCTAGGCGCTATATAGATCTAATTAGGCTGTAATGCTATGCTAGGATTAAACATAGACTAGGTTAAACTATCCTTAGGAATCTATAAACATCTTATAATAAGCGCTATTATTAGGTTCTGCTAGATAGCTGTTACAACGCCTATAGTGTAGTTATAAGTTTAGTTAGTAAAGTTATAATTATTATATATAATTATTAACTAAGGATTATGTGTAAGACTTAGTAGCTTAGCATTAAGTAAGACATAAGCTATATAACATAATATTATAACTTATAAGGTTTTTATATAGTCTACTATTTTATTAACCTTCTAGTTTATAATTTTATATAAGTTATAAACACTTAAGCCTAATAATGTCTTTACAACACGCTGTTTTATACTACTACTATGTAAATATAGACCTAGTAGGTAGGCAAGGTAGTTGCATCTTTTCTAGGCCTAGTAATGTAAGATAATAGAAGTAATTAAATACACCTTACTATTTTATAAACTCTTAGCCTTACTATAACTGCTTTAAGCACTTTACTTATTTTATAAAAGTCTTTTAATAAACCTGCTTTAATTTAGAGCTTAATTAGCTATAATTAACTTTAACTTAGTAAAATTAACCTTATCTAGCCTAAAAGCTATATTATACTAGTTAAAAAACTTTTGCTTAATAAGACTATTAAGTTTTTTTATAAATATAATAGAACTAGAAACACTAGTAGCTTTATTATCTCTACTTAATGCTACATAAATATTTAGCTATTTTAGTGCTAATTAAAAAATTATTTTATATTTACTAGGCAGTAGAGCCTTTAATAACAGTAGGTTTTATAAATATAACTTAACAAATTTACTTATTAGCATTTATAGCTTATTTATTAACGCTAAAACCTACTCTAGTTTCTTTAATTTTAGAGTGTAAATAAGTATAAACAACTAGACATGCTAAGTAGACACACCTACTACTTATAAAGTTATAAAGAGATAAGTTATTAGAACTAGAGCCTAAGGCTTAGTAGTAACTATAAATAAAAGTAAGGAAAATATAAAAGAAAGTAATAATAAAGGTAATAATAAAGAAGGTAGCAGCTTATCTGCTAGAGGAAGATAAGAGAGTTATAGACGCTGGCGCAGACGCGGGGTAGGACTAGTAGACTTATTAGCTATTTTATACAGTAAATAACGTGCAAAACGCGTAATAATTTAATAGATAATAGTAAAAAGTTATGTAGCTATTAGCCTAAAGTTTAAAAATGTTTAAAAAGAAGAAAAGATGTGTAAATATTAATATAATATATTCTTATATAAAAAGTAAGCACTAAAATTAGTTATCTATATAATTAATTACTAAAGTCCCTTAGACAGCTAGGGAGAGAAGCTAAATCTAGCATCCTTATTAGCCAGAAAGATAGCGTGAGCGCCACCGGCGCGACTAGCATGGGTTTATGTTGACTAGCAAGGGTATCAGGGGCGAAGCCCCTGTCGGGGCTTCGCCCCTTCTCTCCCCAATCGGCTGAGCTAGCTGAGATAAGCACAGCCACATATCTTGTAATAAAATAGCTGCAAATGTATAAGGTAAGACGTGCGGGGTCATCTCGCATTAGCCCGGGTCAGTAGTTCGCTTCCGCTGGAAGTACCAATCGATGGGGCGGCGCTGCATGAAATCGCGCCCCGCAGAGCGCATAGGGCTAATGATGACCTCTTGGTATTAGAGGGAGGCTGTGAGGGTAGAATAAGGCTGTTCTATAAAAATTTGGAGCAAGAAAGGCTTAAGGTTGGCGCTGTGGGTAGGGAAGCATGTTTGCCACGACATAAGGCGCTGTACAAATCGGGCGCGGAAGCGATGATGCGAACGTAATTTTTAGGTATGAGGGATCATAGAGATTCAAGATTGGCTGCAGCTGATTATTTTCATAGAGTCATGGCAATATTCATTGTGCGCATGAGCTTTCTGTTTGCTGAAAGCCAAAGTAGCTCTCGTTTGTCTCGCCACACAGTGCGTCTCGCTACGCAGTGAGGGACGTTAGATATTTCGCGAATTCTAAACCCTGGTGGCGGAAGGATCCTGGAAATGCGTAAGGAGAAAGCAAAAGTTTTTATTTATTTTTTTGGCGAGGGGTAGAGATCCAGACGCATGTTAAAATGGTGAATGTGACTAGGCAGGAACGTTTGAAGGTAATCGATGCGAATAGCAAGAGGCGTTGAACTTTGGGAGTATACTCCACGAGCAGCTTTCTATCCCAAAGAAAAAATTAAAATGCTGTGGTTCTAGCTCCACAAGACACAAACTTCCTTCCCAGATATCGCGGCGTTTATTCTCCATATACAAAATAATACATGACGAAAATGGTAATCGTAACCACTGAGCAGAAGTTCACCATCTGTTGTTGATACTCTGTTGACATTTTATCCTCTAACCTGTCCCATACCTCTTGGCCCGCCGGCTGGAAAGTTCCTCGCGCTCAACAATACGCCTTTCACGGCTCGGATATCAGCTTTGAATGTTTCCATCTGATCATCTTTTCCGTCTTTTATCTTGGGCATTCCGTAATTATTTCCATACAATCCCCCCATTCCAGAGAAGTACTGGTTTTGGTAGCTCATCTCACCCAGGTAGGTCGTCAAATCGGAAAGCCGGGTTCTCAGTGAATCTGAAGAAGCGGAATCATTGGAGCGAGTCGCTTCCAGCTCGCGCAGATGGGATGTGAGGATCTTGAGGCGATTCTCGTGGGCGGTAAGAGTGGAAGAGTCTGGCTCGGTCGATACTGAGGGGCGCCGGGAGAGAGTCGGGGTTGTTTGGGTTCCATAGTCGCGATGAAAGAGCTCGGTGGGGTCTGAGTCTGCTTCTGACACATCGTCTGCAGGGTCGGTAGCTTTGGGTTTGGGTTTGCTAGCGGGATCGATAGAGACAATATCCTCCAAACGCGTATTCAATTCTTTTATTTGGTCCTGTGCGTGGGCTGCAAATGCGTGCCGTGATTCCAGAAGTGTCTGTGTCATTGGGGCAACGATGTATTTGGACAACCCGTACATAGTCGCAATCAAACCCCCGGTTATGTATGCAGTATTGAGGAGGCGTTGTGTTGTTATAAGTGGCGGGGATTTGCTCGACTGGGTAAGGAACTCGGGGTAAGTGACGATTGGGGGGACATCTCGGGATTGAGGTTTCTGCGCGGGAGGTTGTGTGGCTGGTTGCAAGGGAGTCTTGAGAATGTCAGCGGGGTGTCAATCTAAGAGTTGGTTCAAAGCGTGTTTACAAATGTACGAAGAAGAGAAAGAAAGTGAAGATACCAACCCTTGCCCATGCACGCTCGCCATCTGATGACAGATCTACCGTTGACTCGTCCTCCTGTTGGTCCCCTAATAGCTGGGCTATATCTTCCTTCGTCACACCCTTTGATTGCAGGAATGCGACCTTCTTTTCCCGGGGCGCATTGCGGATTGTGGGGTCCTCGAGAAATCGCGAGGCTTGGTCTAGCAGCGATGTGGTCTCTGGCTGTGGTTCGTCCTTCGCCGACCCATCCGCACCTGGCGCTGGAGTGGGTTCGGACTGGTATTCCGGCTCAGGGTCTTGTTCAGAAGGAGGAGGCGCTGGCGATGGTTTGTCTTGGGTGCGCTGCCAGTCGGGTATAGTGGGTTTTCCTGCCTTGGCTGACATGACCGATGTGTGAAATGCAAAAACTAAGTGGAAATAGAAAGCTAGAAGAGGACGGTTAGAGCAGTGTGGAATGAAGGGCAACAGCTCGGATGCTGGTTGAGGCTGGGCCGAGGTCGAGCAGCTGCGGCCGCTAACCGCTTCAGGCGCGCGCCTTTGGGGTCAAGATCACCAGCAAGTGTTGGTGGAGCGAATCACCATCACATGTTGACGAGCCGCAAAAGAACTGCAGCGCTCACTATCTTCGATTTACGTTTGTTCGCATTCGTATCAGAGGATTGAGAATGGCGGACAGGGCGGCCAAGCGCTTACGCCGCCTCAGCACCGATTACGAGGACGCAGAAGGCGCGGACGATTGGCAGTCGCACAAGGACAAAGGCAGCAACGGCCATCTCACCAGGTATGTGGCTGACCACAGCACTCCTTCCTGATTCCCCATTGCAGCTGCCAAGTGCGACGTGTGGGGAGCAAGCGCAACCTGAGGTGGACGCGCCCTCGCCAACAACGAGCAAGCACGCTTGCATGTTCGCTATCGAGCAACTCCCCCCTCATTCATTGCACCTTCTATACTGCGCCACCGAGCTCGCCATCCCTGTGCAGCTCACTGCATCTCGCCGTTGACCCACTATCTCTTTCTATCGCGAACCTCCTTCCTACTCCCCATCTCCCCAACTCCACACGGCGCGAAACACCGCAGCCATGGCCGGCCGCCGTCTGCGATCGCGCGCAGCTCTAACAGCTCCCAGCGCTGCCCCCACCGCCTCCTCCACTCGTCCGCGGCGCGGCACTACCAATCAACCCCCCTCCGCCGTCATCGAGCGCTCTTCCCCTGAAGACACGCGTCAGTCCATCCACCTCACCGTGAAGGCCTCGCCGAGTAAGCTCCGGAAGGCGACAGGCGGAAGGGTCCCCAATACCGCCGTGAGCTCGCGGAATATTGTGTCTGGAAAGCGGGCCTCGCGCAGCAGTCGAACAATACAGGAGGTGGACAGCGACGACGAGGACGAGGAAGAAGAAGAGGAGGACGAGGAAGAGGAAGAGGAAGAGGACGAGGAAGAGGAGGTAGAAGAGCCTGAGCCTATGGACGTGGACGAAGAGGATGAAGACGAAGATGCTGAAGGCGAGGAAGACGACGATATAGATGCCGAAGGGGAGGAAGACGAAGAGATGGAGGACATAACTCCGGCTCCTCACATTGTGGCCCTGACCAATGACACTATCCGCGTCCAGCCCAGCATTAACGTGGTTGCACCAGATGTCACTCCGGTGGGGACCAAAGAACTGGCCATGGCAGATGAAGACGACGATGAAGAGCTTTCGTCGCTTGAATCAGACGAGGAAGGCGACGAAGAGGATGTCGAAGGGGAAGATGAGGACGCCGAGGGCGAGGAAGAGGACATTCCCGTCCAGAACGACGAAGAAGACGACGATGAAGAGCTGGACAGTGATGAAGAGACACCGCAATCCATGAGCCGAAGCCATACCCCCGACCTAAGCAAGATGACGAGGCGACAGCGGGCTATGGTCATCGAGGACAGCGATGGAAGCTTGATGGCTCTTTCGAATGGTACTGTCCATACCCACCTATACTAAACCATGCCATGTTAACATTCCCACAGAGGCACAAAAGAAGAAGCACCTGACTGCTGAAGAGCACGCAATGCGGCGAGCAGAAATGGCTCGTCGTCGCAAGAATCTCAGCGAGAAGCGCAACGAGGAGGAGAAGGTCCGTTTTTCCTTTACCTAGTCCTACCACCATGTCAAACCCGGCATCATTCAACTTTCCGCGTATTCAAACATGCTGACTCCTGTAGATGGACACCATCAACCGTTTGCTTAAGAAACAACCTCCAAAACGCGGACGACGCATTATCCAAGACATCACTGAATCTGGCCTCGAAGATGAGCTGGATGTTGAAAAGGCAAACCCGCTCTATGTCCGTTATACACAGAACGCCAGCGGAAGTCTGATGGCTTTCCCTGATCAGTGGCTTCAAACCCCCGCTGCTAGGGATCTCGCCGGAAAGCTCAATCGCGCGCCAAGTCGGCCCTTCAGCGGACGGATGGTCGAAGAGGTATCTTGATTCACTAAGGTTACGTTACGGTGTTGTTCGAGAAATCGTAATTGCTTTGCATGTATCGGCCCGGAGTTTGGTTAGCATTTCCATTTAGATCTTGGCATCGGAACAATTCAGGAATGCTCGAACAGATAAAAAGCAATAGAAGGCTAGAAAACTCTTCGCCAAAATTCATGGCCGCCAAAGCTTGGTCTTCGCCTCAGGAAAGCAGTCAACCCAATTCAAGGCTTCAGAAGCGAGTTTTACTAGGCCTGCCTTGCAATTGAAGCTCGATCCCCTGTGGCTGTATTGTGGCGTCATGATAGCACGCCAGCTTCAGCTAAAACTCAAGCAAGTCTCGACCCTCAAAAAATGTTTGGTCTTCTGCCCGCTTTCCTTTCGTCACTTCTCCTGCTACTCTCACTGCCTATTCCACCTGGCACAAATTTCACTGCTCTCCCATAACATGGTTAGCGAATCTATAACTATAGACTCAGCTCTGGGCTACGCAGAACTTCGAACATGCGGCGCTTGTTGTATGGGCCGCTACTGTGCTGCAAGCCTAGCGCTCTCTAATGTTGTCGCCTGCACAGCTAATTCATGTCTCTGTCGCAGCGATGTAAAACTCCTTGCCTTATCTCACCTGTCAACCTGTGTGCACTCAGCATGTAGTAACGATAATGATGTTACGAGCTATCAATCCGTCTACCTTGGGTACTGTAGCGCGTTGGATCGTGGGAATCCGTACACGTCAATAGATGCGGGCATCATTACCCAACTTAGCGCAACAGTAGGGAAGACCATACAAAAGACGGTTGCAGAGACGGTCACTCAAATTCAAACTGCAATCGTGACGCTTGTTCCGACGCGTAAGTTTCCAGACATTCTTCATGCAGCCCTAAATGACAAATTGCAGTCGCAACATTCACTTCTATCATTACATACACAACAACATACTCAAACGGCTCCGTAGCGCTCATAACATCTACGTCTGCGACCACAGCTGCAGTCATCACACTTGGATCGGATTCAGCATCGCGCCCAGGAATCAGCTCCTCGGATAGAATTGCCCTTGGTGTTGGACTGGGAGTCGGCCTCCCTGCGTTGCTCGCAACGTGTATTTTCGGATATCTTCAATTGCGATACGAAAGGCGCAAAACGTATGCGGATCGTATGGGGTATGCTAGGCCGACGAGCATCTTTTCGCGGTAGTTGGGTTGGGAGGCTGGTCAGCGCATGATCCAAGATGCGCTGTGCAGCTGTATTGATGATGAAGGGTGGTGGGTGTATTCTACTGGAGGGATTTTTACCTTGTTCCCTGTTCTGAGTCTTATTTGCGCTTCATAGACGACGGCGTAAACCGCTTTGACTAGATATGCTTGGGTTTGATTGAGGGCAGAAACCTGTGTCTTGTTGACGCTCTCCTTTATTTAACATCTGCCTTAGGAGATGGTATTGCGCCGCGATAGGTACTGATGTAGAGCAAAGTGCATTGTCCGAATCCGAACTTTAAGAAGGCTGAGTTCGCGTTCACGTCCTCAGGTTACATTTGTGTCACGTATATGCACACATGTATTCAACTCGGGTGCGTATTCTCCGAATTGTGCGAGGGTGGCTGAGCAACCCTCAAGATTCGAAACACGAGCTGAAAACAACCTAAACCTCAAGCCGAATTGACCAAGAAGCTTCATTTAACAGGATACTCCCAGTTTTTTAATTTCTATTATCTGAAGAGCTGTGGACTGGAACATGACTACTCCATTCAAGCACAAGAACGCATTCGAACTCGAAATCAGCCACCGTGAATTCCCCGCTCTTCCGTCTACAAAACCACCATCCAGCTCTCAATCAGAGTCCCAGACCATTCGAAAACCGGCCTTGGACCGAAAGCCAGCCCCCAGAACAGAGTGGAGCTGGAAGTCCGCTGCTCCTCCTTCCCATCCAAAATGGCCGTCCCTGAAATATTCGCCCGTTCCGTTCAACCCCAGTCCTGCTTCAAGCCGAGACATCACTCAAAGCTCACCTGAATACCCACCCTACTCACCGCAAGCCGACACTCTCATGTCAACATCAACGGCAGGATCCGGATCCTTCGAGCCTTTTTCTCAGAAAAAGAAGACTACAGTCTGGAACGCCCCGGGGAAACTCCCACCACTCCTGCGCCTCCCTGTCGAACTCCACAAAGACATCCTCGACATCCTCAAACTCGCCCCAACGGCCACGCAAAGTATCCTATGTCTGCGTCTCGTGAACCGCTACTTTTACACCCTAGTCCCAGCCCCATCACATGCAATGCTGCTGACCGCGGAGCGCGAAGTCTGGGCCTGCAGGCTTTGCCTCTATGCCTGTCGTTACTGTCTCCGTCTCCGAAAAGGCGGAAATTTCGCGGATGCTATGCTAAAAGGACGTACGGGGCTGAATGGTAAAGAACCTGCGAAACGATTTTGTGTGGATTGTGGGCTGCATCCGAGGCCTGGGGAGACGCGGTATTCGCCGGGTGCGGAGATTGTGGTGAAGGGGGAGCGGAGAGTTTGGTGTAAGATCTGCTCGCAGGTTAAGAAGGGGGCGGATGCGATTGGATGCACGGGGGTTTGTGGGGCATGCCATGGAAGAAATGGGTGCCGGTGTCAGGGGGAGGGTAGGTTGCAGGGGACGGCAAAGGTTAAGAAGAAGAAGAGGAGGAGGGCTGGTGTTGGGGGGTGGATGGACTATGAAGATGATGTGCTTGGGGAATATGCGGAAATGGGGATTGATTTTTGGGAATGCTATGATCCTAGTTGAGGGTTGGGAAGATGTCTTCAAGCTCACTTTGTTGGAAGATCAGAACCTTTTGTTTTGGGTGTTTGGGGATCGCTGGGGTATGGGGATAGGGCGTTTATTGCGATAATCTACGTGGGAGAAAAGAAAATTTTCTCATATATGATTTGTGTTACTGTCATGCAAAAGCCCAACTCCATGACCTCAGTGGTCCGAACTACTGGATGCATCTGTGCCTAAAACATACAATTGTTGACTATCCTTCACTTCACCATGCACTAATACTATCATGTCCCCAACCATGTCCTAAACCCTTCTTCATGGAGCCACCTAATACCTTTCTAACAGGCTCGTCTAAGAGAAATCCTCACCCGTCTCCTCAATCGTGTTCTTAATCCTCAAAAGTAGCGTCGTCTTCCACTTATCTAGTTTACTCAATTGATCGTATTGAAACAATTTATCCGCATACATCTCTTGGTCACCTTCCTGGACAGCAGTGGTGAGATCAACGAGTAGTTGATGCTCGCGTTGCTGGGTGAAGCTGGGATCGAGGTCGCGGTATTTCTCGAGGGCGGCGTTGACGCCAACCATATCGCCAGTGCAGAGCTGGCAGATGCCGGCTTTGAGGAGGTACTCTTTTACGGACCAGCGCATAAGGTTGCTGTTGATGCTGGATTTGGCGACACGTTCATAAAGTTCACTTAAGCACGATGTTAGCTGTAGAATGAAGGTGCGGCCTTGCGGTGCTAAGACATCTAAAAAACAGACTGAAGAATAACCCACATGGCCTTGTAATCTGTGTATGCAAGTTAGCAAGAATGCGAATTAGTTTAAAGAACATGCGTCTCACAGTCTTTGCCTTCCAGAGCGACCAGATCAGCTGTCTTGAGCCACAGCTTGTTTGCTAGAGCCTGGCTTCGATTAGTACTATCCAAAAATCCGCCAATAAGTGACTTTACTTCAGCGTTATCCTATTCACAAATTAGCGCAAGATAAAGTCGAATAATACTCGGGTAAAAATAAAGAAGGTCAAACATACGCTTTCGTACCAGCTTGCAGCCTCTTCGTACGCGGCTGCTGCCCGTCCTTCGTCACCGAGTTCGAGCTCATAAAGCTCGGCGAGATTCTGTTTGTGGGTAGCGGCGCGGCGGAAAGCACCTTTGCTGCAGTAGTGGGCGATAGCCTTGTCGAGACATCTTGCAGCGTCTTCCGGCGAATCTTTCTTGTATGCCTCTGAAGCAAGGTTAAGCTCACGTGACTTTAGGATTGGTGAGACCAGACGTACTGAAGGCTTCTGTTAATGTATTCGCTTGGTCGTCCGGTTCGTTGAGCTGTTGGCCTTGTATCGCTGCTGCACGCTCAAAGGCCAAGCCAGCTTCCTTTCCTGGAATCATGATTAGTAGTGGAGGTACTGCTGGAGACAGGAAATGATAGAACTGCTAAATGCGAAGTTCTGAGGATTGTGTACCCATCTTCTGCATTCGAAATGCATTTGCTGCTTGAATGAATTGATCTGCCGCTTGTTCGTCTGCCACTCTCTTAGCCTGGCACACCTAAATCAAGATTACAGGACATACACTTATCTGCCTTGCCACCAAAGAAGCTGAACCCCGATCCGGCACTTTGAAGAGTCTTTTCCGCCTATGATATGTTTATTAGCTTCTGGATACTTGCCTTGTGGCTGTGTTTCAGATATCTTACCTTCTGAAGGGCTACTCTTGGGTCTCCGGCCATATTTGAGGATTTTCTCTCGCCTAAATGCGGTCGCTTGCTTGATTTAAAGACGATTCAATGTGGATCGAAGGATATAATGTGGTACAGAGTGTTATGTGTCGAAGAGCTGAGACGGCTGGTTGTCTTTGAAGATGACGGCCTGGCTGGCTCGTGCGTGGAGGTAGCTGGCTGCGGCGGGACTTCGGCAGCTTCGATGCCGCCAAAGTCGTTACATAATCCCCGAAGCGCAACGACACTTCATTCACGACTTCTGCCAGGGGCGTGCAATAGTGCCCCTTTCACCAATCAAAGTGTTTGAGCAAGTTCATGACAATCACTTAACACCCCTACTTCAATTTTTCTCGGTTCAGCCTTCCGGAATTGCGTGCCGGAATTGCGCGTATTCTTGCGTTGTTCACCATGGCCTTCGGACACCTTTTTATATTCAAAAGAGCGCTATTTACGCCTTTCCAAGATTTAGTTTTCCTTCGGAATTTATTCTTAGGGACTCAGCTACGTCTAACCTCATCTGTACAGAGGCCAGGCACTACTGTATCAAAAGAAGTCAGACCAGAGGTTCTCGAACAGCTGTTCTTGAATCCAACCTGGTCGGTCGAATCCCTCCTGCCACCGAAAATGCATCCATCCGATGGGCCTAAAATAACATCCCAGCAACTTCACCATCTCCTTCGATTGTCCGCTCTTCCTCTCCCCGAAAATCCTGAAGAAGAGAAGAAGATGCTGGACACACTCTCTGCACAACTCCATTTCGTGGGGGAGATACAGCAAGTGAATACCACGGGTGTGAAACCACTACGTGTCATAAGAGATGAGACGGCTGCAGCAGAACAGGAGCAAACGATTACACTGCAGACGCTTAGAGAAGCCTTGACGAAAGAGAAGGCTATTGGAAAGCATCACAAGCGTATACAAAGGCAGACGGATCCGGTGGATGCTAGAAATACTGAAGATTTGGATGTGCTTGGATTTGCTGAAAAGAAGGTTGGGAAGTACTTGATGGTTGAAAGCCAAAGGCCTCAGGAATAGGCAACTCTGGGCACGGCCAGCGCCATTTCACCCTCGCTAATTATTCGACCACATCTTTTACGTAAGTCTTATGTGTAGTTTCTTTCAATCTCTCACATACGTTTGGCACTTTCTCATCAGGTCAATAGAATACAAAGGTCATGATGGGACGTGGTTCGATATCCACTTGAAAATAACACTGAAAGTTAACAACTGGCCCTAGATACCCATATTGTCGCTCCACATAATACAGTGCCGCCAAGATCATTCTGAGAATTACCAGATCCTAAATAAGGGAAGATCTGAAAGTAACTGATTCGTAGCGAACGCCATTTTTCGTACAAATCGAAGAAATAAAGAGAATACGCAGAATCATGCGAGCTCACGAAGTATTCCAAGAGATATCACATTTGCATGACGTGCAGTATTTGATGACGTGCGCTTCAATGCAGCAGTCGCAGAATGGGGATCCGTCAAGATCAGGAAGTTCGGGCGTCGGAAGGCGTTTGATTTTCGGAGTCGGTGGCGGCGTGAGCAAGGTTGATATCTCATGAGACTTCAATCCTTGCTCCTCTGTGGTTTTGGCTGGTTTTGTTTTCTGGAAAATGACTGCTTTGGCTTTTGACCCTTTGGATGGGTGGCCTAACCCAGTCACGTGCCTCGTGGTGTTCAGCTCCCGTAGATTTGGGCCAGGAGTATTCTGATCCTCCATAGGAAAGCCCTTCGACTTCATTCGATCGTTTAATGCCCTGCCGAATTGGTCACGACGATTTGACGTCGACGGACCAGCCAGGTCGAACACCTCTGCGCGACGACGATGTTCTTGGATACGAACGACTTTGCCATCAACAAACTCGGCTTTCCGATACTGCGCACCACTCCTGAGTCGAATGGAATCGGATTCAGACATTGTGGTGGGCAGGAATGGTGGCCTCATTAAGAGCTGAAGAGGTGGGATGTCGTAAAGACAATAAAAATGGTCAAGAAGATGTCCAAACTTGTACCAATGATGCTTTGACTTGGTTTCAGGATGATTTGCAATGGTTGTGTGGAGTTCCGAGATGAGTGTGAAGAGACTGGAGTGAGGAGTAAGAGGGATGGGCGGAGGAGGTGGGCGACATGGTATATAATGGACAGTAGCGAGCGCCAAGCCCCTCACCCATTCTGACGCATGGGCACCTGCAGTGATCCACCCTACCCCTTCAAGCATCCCGACTGGCTTTATTCGAATCCCGCGACCCTAATTGCTAGGTAGAAATCAAAATCGTCCCATTAGACGAGACTGTGCATGACTTGTAGAGTTTCCGTCTGCTTGGTGGTCGCTCTGGGCTTCACCACGGGCGGCCTCTTAAGAAGGACTGGTATACGAAACAACGCAACAATTTGGGATCCTTCGAGGTCCCGAAACAGCTCAGGTGGGTTGGCCTATTTGATGCATCCAATTTTCGAGGTTCCCTGTCGTCGGTTGGGTCTACCTCATCGACGTCTGTTCGTCCCTTCTCCGCTTCTGAATATTTTCTTATTCTGATCGATCCTCAGTCATCCCAATAATATCCCTAGTCCATATACCAAGTTTCAGGATCATACGATTTGTTGTGCATGGGTTGTGGAGTCTTGGTCCTCACTTGCTTCAATGACATGAAGTTGATCTGCTTAGATAAGCATGGCTTCACGTGATTATTGCTCACCCAACTGGGGGATCTCTCGCCCTATACCGCCATCAGAAGCCATATAGACCAGAGGAGATAGGTAATAACGGTCCAGTGGATTACTGTCGACGCCTAGCACATTTCACACGGAACCCTCTCATTGTTCTCTTTGCTGGTTGTTCCAATGATTGATGGCCCGTGCGTGGCATGTCAGGCATCAAGGGCCTTTACTGATGGCCCACCTTGGAAGGTTCAACATTTTCACAGGAGCTTACGTAACAATATCCGACTCTCCTGCCCCTTGGTGCAGCATTCAGCTGGTCGAAGATGCCGGCACTCACGGTTCGCGAGCCTATCTGGGCTTAGGACTAGCAAATACTTGGCTACTTTATGCAGTATTTTCGGACAATTTCTAGGACTACCTCGTGGCTCTTTTCATATCACGCGAATCTACCTCTAGACATTCAGGCTCTGGCACGACTTGACGTCTTTCTAGGAGCCTAGTAGAAGTGAATTCGTATTCTAGAAGAGCAGCTCCTGATGACCTCGAATCAACCGATATTCCAAAAAAAAGAAAAAAAACCCTGGTTGAGAAGCTAGGCCAACTTGTTAGAAATACCAGGATTGACTATGTTTACGATTCTTTGGCAAAGAATTCGTCCATCGTAGACTGCGTTGATACTGATGAAGACCTTGAGATATAATACGGCTGTCAACATTCTCTCAGCTCCCTACGGCAGTGAGTCAAGTCAGCAGAGAAGGACCAATTCTTTTGTTCACACATATTTCTGGATGCTGGATCGGCCGCTTTCAGGAGATTGCCACAAGTTTCTCAACAACTAATAACTATTTGTTCCTTCCGGGCTTCACCAAACCCTTCGTGCCTTCCATCCTACACGTGTACTGGCGCGATACCACTTTACACCCTGGCAGATTTCAAACGCAAGGCTTTTGCATATATTGTAGAGTATATCTTTTTTTACCAGCGTCATCACATATCTCTCTTTAACTATAAAGAACCGCTCTTTTACTATCCTCTTTTGCTTTCCTCGCCTAGATTACCACTACTAGAGCCGCCGGGGAGTGGGTTGGTTGTTAAAGAGCAGTGATGGAGCGAGAGTATAGCGAGGCAGTATGAGGGGTGTCTAAATTTGTGGCTGCCTGTCAAAATATTGGTGGCGATCATATTGGCAGGGCTTACTCTAGCATGAGTTCATAGGATGAAAAGGCGAACGTCAAATCGCAGACTTTGCGAAGGTGTTCTTCAATTGATTCCATCGGTTTTTTTAACCATCTTTTCGATCACCTCCTGCAGTGCACCTTTTCAAAATCGACAAATTCTTCAAGATCAGATATCCCAACCACAATCATGGCGACGACTGATCCCAATTGAGCCAGTTCATTAAGCTGACCAGGTTCATACACTTCCCAGGCTCGGCCACGAGATAACAAGCCAGTGGTGGCACTTCTTGCAGAAATAAGCGCGAGCTTGAAGGATCCAAGAGATCATTCCGCGCTAAATATGAGGCTAGTAGATCCCCCAAAAGACGAAGGCCTAAATCATAGGATCCGATAGAGACACAGAACTTGGGATCAAAACTCGAATATTGAAAACGGGGGACGAGGAGAGCGTCGAAGCACTCGCGTTGAAAGCTGTCGACGAAGTTCCCAAAGTGTTAGATCAACATCTTACCTCCCTTATGACTACTCGAACAGTGGGACTGAGGGCTCCGATAAAATTTCCGAAAAGGAGACTGAAGAGTCCTATATGGGCTACGGCAAAGTCATCAAGGAGGTCATAGGAAAATTCGTGGAAGAACTCGTGGAGGTAAGAAGTGTGCGATGAAGGAGGCCTAGAGTGGATTTACAGGACCGTGGTAGATTTACACTCCCGGAATATCGAGATGTTATAGTTAAAGATCGAAGAATCCTTGTGAATTCACGAAATCATTCAAGACCGAGCCGCCGTAACCAAACTAGACTGGAAGTTGGGGAGCAGAGCGCAGAAATCGTGGATGAACTGAGTGGCAAAACCATTGATCAAGACCACACAACATCCACGGACTCGGACGAAACAAGGCTTCTCCCGTTGAAGGGATACATCAACGAAGAAGTAGAGTGTGGGGATCTCCTTCATGCTGATCTAGGTGAGCAGCTGTTCGGCAATTCACGCGGACTACGTGGAGCGGATGAGAGAGATTTATGTTCTTCATGGTTGAAGGATAAAAGATTGGTCTTCTCTCCTGACGAACGATGTCGCTTCAAATTCGGTAATGCCAATCTCGCCGACTGCGAGGGGCTATATAAACTTAAGGAGGCAGTTGGAAACATCGAACGGTTTGCTCGTAGCTTGCGAGCGTAGGGGTGTTTCTTTTTCATGAATCCTATTTATCAGGCAAAGCTTACAGAAACAAGATATATAATGGAACGCATGCCCTTGGATGCAAAGATGACATGGGTTATGCGCTCCCTGTGCTTTCAGAAGGGGGAAAGACTTTTGCGAAGAATTTCGCGAAGAATTTCCAGAAGACAAAGGGGCCGAAAGGGTAAGAGAACCGTGCGTCACATACAATTACAATGGGAAAACCGGAATTTGATTATTCGGCGGGTTCCCCCACGGGATGAATAGCGCACCCCCACCAACCCACATCGAGTGGTAATAGGCGACGGGTATGAAAGCGAAACTGGACAAACAGAAGGCGTTACAAATATCAATATCCTCATCTTAGAGCCCCATGGAAGAGACTATGGCATGACGCCAACCCTATGGCCTTAGATCTGCAGGCTTGCTAGCACTGATTAGTGTATTTACCGGATTGTCTCGAATCTTAGATCCTGACGATTCTGATATATGGGTAACAATACCTTTATTTACACACGAAGGCGAAATCGATGGAGGAAGAAAATATCGTTCGGGAATTGGATCCCATCAGGCAAAGATGAGACGTATGTATGTACTTCTCAGCCGACTCGGACCGGAACTCCAACGATTACAGTGACGGTGATGAGGAGGAGAAAAACGAATCTGATGATAACAACGGCGAGCGCAGCGGCTCAGATCATAGTGATTTCTATCACAACATAATAGAAATCCTCAACTACGAACAAGTGTTGGATCAACATCTTGTTCGTAGTATTGTGAAGTTCAGGGCTCACAACGGGCGTGCAACCGTCCGTATAAAGTGAGCCGTACCGATCACGTGTTCAGTACGAACGTACCTAATTTGTGAGCCGCACCGTACGTTTAATGAAGCTCCAGGTACGTTACGTAGTACAGATTGTATTACCCTTTTGGGTATTGTATAGCGATTCTAAGGGAGTAAGAGGGCTCTTGACTTCTGCAGTCTAGGCAAGAGACTGGGCAAAACAGACAGCAGAGGTACCTAATTAATTAGATGAGGCCTGTAAGTAAGCTGTTTCAACTTGAGTACAGCGTACTTCAATCGAATCGCACTACTCGTACAGATCACGTGAGCCGTAACAGTTACGATACGTACACCTGTCTCCCTGCCGTACGAAAGTACAAAAACCTCGCCGTACAGGCATCAAAATCGCCCAATCTTACAGTACTACGGCTCGATGGAAGCACTGGTGAAGTTCCAATTTTCCTGATACGAACTCATTCCCCATGGAGAGTCTGAGCATCGCTAGTATTCTGGCAGATTATACAGAGACGATAGTAAGCTCTCGCTCCAGTTGCAATCCTTTATGGTGACTGATCTGACTCAGAGAGCTAAATAACACGGCTTGTCATTGATAGATTAGGTGACTAGAGTTTGACAACGTGTAGATGGAGACCCTTCTGGTGATTGCAAGTCCTAGACTCTCATTGCATTTTCCCCTGCCTTCTTCTACTATAAAGATGTGCAGGAAATGTATGGTGATAGTCCAAGCAAAACTGCACGGAAAGAACTGCATGATTTGATAGCACCACTTCGGAACATTCTACCAACATTATCCGCAGCGCTGTTTATAATAATTCCCCTGATATTGACACATTGGACTGATTTTAGCCAATATATTGAACAGCTTATAGCAGGCCAGGATACATTACTACACGAGAAACAGCATGATCGGTTACTTTTCAATGGTGACATCTTTACGCGCTCCCGCTAATATTTCTGGGCTATTGCTAGCATTAGAGAATTCATCCCAATCATCGAGTACACGATTACCCAATATAACGATGTTCCGAAATGGGTCTCTCCAAACACAGATAAGTTGAGAAAGCATCGTGAACTTCGGACGAAGTTGGAGGTTGCTAGAGAGAGGCTCGAGAGACGAAGAACAAGAGCTACTGACCTTCGAGAAGGCGTAAGTCCCAAAAATTTATACTACGCCAACAACTTAGATTCTAACATCTCATGAAAGTTAATTCAGCGCTAGTACTGTCGTCGAGAGTCGTTTATCGACTCGACTTGCCCGAAACGTGAGGCTTCTCACATACGTGAGCATTTTCTAACTCCCCTTACGATTCTGCTCAGTAGGTCTCCGTGCTCTGTCTATCACCAAAGGATTCAGTAATGATCTATTCCAGGCTCTTTAGGTCATCTCAAACATTACAAATTCGTCAACTCGAACCTTGTTCATTGTTGCGGCCTTACTAGCTGGCTTTGTGACGCATTTCATCGCTTTGCGACGCCGTATTCCATGTTAAGGCTAGTGCGTAATAGAAAGATTTATAAAATTTAATGACTTAAGCTGTTGTTTCATTCATGGTGTAATTCTGCAGCGAGTTCGGCTTGGGGTCGGAGATTGTCATCCCAAACAATGGCAAGGTTTTCCTGTTCTCTGCTAACCATCCGATTTTCCGACCAGAGCTGGAATGTGAGGTCGGCGGATCCAGGTATTACTTTCAAGTCAAATTCAGCCATTGAATGCTTCTTCTTCGAGTTCCACCAGTGCTTGTTCTTCACCTTCATCTTTACCCCTAATAAAGACGACTCTACGATGCACAAAGTTGTAACTCCTTCATGGTACATACTACGCGGGAGTTGATCGGGGGGATACGCGGACATTACGACTTGGGCTTTCCACGGCCGACCGATTTGGGATCTTTGGATTTTTGCTCGGAATTCTTTGGCAACGCCTTCGGTTGGGACTTTGTCCCCCTATCCTTCGTCAATAGGAACACTTCATCAAAAACCCTAGATTTAGAACTACCTGTTTTATTATCCACTCGATTTGGGCCTTTGCCCACCTCTTCCCGTCTCTCGGATCTCGGACGACATATTCGCCAAGGTGGTTTTCTTCTTGGTAAATTTGGTCGCAAACTACTCCGTAGCTTAATCTCGAGGGGCGTTCTCGGATTGCTATCACCCCTTGTGTGACCATCTGCGTCCGCTCAGCTACCAAACCATGGGCTACTGCTAGTTGCCTGCTTCGTCAGAATCTTGGTGTCCAGATCGCGTGGGTGGACTCACGGTTGTTCCGCTAACAAGACCCGAATCGATGGAGCGGTATACTCAAAGTACGACATGATTCGTTTTCTGAGATAAGGAGATGCCCCAAGACCTCCAGAAAGAACTAGAAACGACTGGACCGTGTCAGCGGAAACTCAGGGCGAAGTGCTGAAGACAGACCTACAACTCGCTCTAGGGGCTGTTCTTGTTGCAGTTTCCGGAGTTGAGAGTCCATCAAATTGATTATTCCATGAACTTGCTCGTCAAACATGCTTTGCAGCTCGTCCCTACGTCACTTAGTTTTTATCACTGATATTGCGGTAGAAGAGGATACTTACCTCGTTATGATAATGTTTGAATTGACGATCCCGGCTTCTGGAAAGTAGGATCCTGGAGGAAGGCCTGGAACAGGAAGGGGTAAAGTTGGGATATCCGTTCCTTCTCCACCAAAGGAACACTTAAACCGCTCAAATCTCCCTCCTATCATCATTTGCACCGCTTCTTGCGGACTAAGTTGGAGATGTGTAGCGATCAATGATAACCGATTCATCAGGAGCTGTTGAGCTGCCATGTCTATCAAGGCCGATCCAAACCATCCACCTTCTACCGGGAGTAAAGGTGCTAACTTCGTTGCTTCTCCTGGATGTGAGGCTACCTTTAAAATACTAACATCGGATGTCCCACCGCCAGAATCGCACACCATTAGGACATCGTTAAATTGAAGGTACTGCCTGGCAACAGCAATTGCAGCTGCTTCCGCCTCATTCAATGTCACTCGAGTACGATGCGACGGCCCAGCAGTCCCGAACCCTGCCATCTTGATTAACACCTCGATATCCACTATCACTTTCGGGTTTTTCCAGGTTGTTGGTACACTGAAGTTCCATTCCACCTGTAACGAATTCCAATTCGGTATCCTGCTCATAAAATGATGCGCAATATGATCATGTATACACCTCAGATAATCGAGATACCAGCCTCGAGCCTGTTCTGTTGTTGGCGCATTTTCGTACGGATCCATATAATCCGGGTCGAGGTTCAGCTTGAACAATTCTTGGATTTCGAGCGAAGGGTCGTCTTGGGGGCAGTAGAAACCCCATGCTTGGAGCTCGCGGTTAGATTTAGTGTAGGCGAGTTTCGAGGGAACTTTGTTGGCGAGTTCGCTGATAATGGACGTCCATTGTTGGAAGGTCTTTGGGTCGGTCCAGCGGGGTGCTTCGGAGAATGCGACGCCTGATATTGGACTGTCAGCCCTTGGGTGTTTGGAGGTTTGTATGAGATGCTAACTCGCCTGTGCAGGTCATCCCAAAGTCCACCCCGATGACCATAAAGGGGCCATGGTTGTACGCCATGGTTTAATTCAACGCTCAACTACCCCATTCCAGTCAACTCCAAACTTCAATCTATTATCAACGACAACGAGGAATTCGCGGTCTCAAGGTTCACAATTGATAAAAAGTCTCACACGAGCCTCTGCCACGGTCATGCAATCCAAAGCTTCCCGCCTTGCAACGAGGCTGAGCCTGAGTCGTGCTTCCGGTCCAACTCAATGCCTTGACGTAATTATGTGGAAGACTACAGTGTTTTTTCATCAACGATTGACAAGTATCAGGCTCGCTTTTCGGTCGCACGGGCCATCGGGGCTTGTTGAAATGGGGACAAGGCGGACATGCAGAGAGGCATCCCCTCTGGGGGCGGATATCTCGGTTAGACTTACTCTGTCTTCATCACCTACCTCAGCAGCGTAAATTTCCGCGAGTGCCTTAACACTACATTGCGTCCAGGGGTTAAAGAGACATCTTCTCAAAAGTTGTAGATGAAGTCCGCAACGCGAAGCTTGCAGGCCAAGCATTCTCAACAAGCTCGAAACCACCCCTCAGCACTAATACTTGTCTCATGCCGTCCAATTCACCCTCATTCTTCACCCTTTGCGTTGCTTCACTCTCCTCCCCACTATCTCTTCGAGAACCTCAAATCAGGTCTCAGACTGCCGACATATTCAACACCATTTCCCATGTTCGCGTCAACCTCGACACCTCAAGACACCTCCTTTCGTCCCTCATCCGGTCAAACTCTGTGCAACCTCACCTCAGATCGTATTGTGACAGCGTGATACGGGACACCGAGTCCGCATTACGAGCGGTCCAGATCTTGGTGGAGCCACTGAGACTAGACGAGATGGAAAAAGGGAGGTTTAGTTGGGGAAGCAGAGCGCAATGGATTGCTCTCGACAAATCACGACTGGCAGAAAAAATGAATTTGCTTAGTATCAATCACCAAAGCTTAACATCCACCATCGGAGCACTTCAACATATTGCGTCGAAAGTGCCACATCAATACGTTCCAGGAGGTGGTGACTCCATGCTAGTACGACCAAGCTCTGGAATCCGTAGTCCGCCAATGCCAAATTATTACTCGCCGCATCCATCTTTTGGACCATCTGGATATCCACAAAGCTATTATGGACAGGGCCGCGGATCTCCGGAACCAACGCCGACATATGAGCCGAATCCGGTTATGAATTGGAAGCGGCAGACCAGGCAGCCTATATTCAAGTACCGGGACGAGTCGCTTTCGTCGAATGCTGGAGCTGCTTATGAACTTCCGAATTCGCCGGTCGACCTGAACAAAAAGTGGTCTTTATCTAGTCAGGACGATCGCGGAGTGTTAATGCAGCACTCCTTGGGAAACCAATACCTTTCTCCGCCCCAGCAGACAGCAGTATCACCAGCCGCATCTGCACTCGCAGTCCTAGAAGGTAACCATGATCTACAAAACACCCAAGACGTTAGGGACCAGAAAAACATAGACACAAATGTGGGGACGCAGGAAACTGGGGTGCGGGACGAACCACCAGTGCTGGATGAAGCATCAGAAGCAAATTCCATTCGAGATTCGGGTGGCGGACTCGTATCAGGGGAAACATGACTGGGAGAACAAGTAGGAAGTGGCCGAGGTTTGAGCGGTGCGGCATCTATGATATTAGGGATAAGATCAAAAGGGATTCAGACAACGGGAAATGTAAGATTTTGGCGTTGGGAAGTGACTGAATCTAGGATACCCTCAGATGCAAGCGCTATCATATTATCGTATTTATAACTACCCAGCCCGAGACATGCATACATATCGCAGTATCATCACGCACTAAGTCGGCACAACAACAGGCTCAAGCAACATCTGCGGCCGTCCAACAACCCCTTTCGCATCGGACTCCTTTGTCAAACCTGGCGCAACCACAACCCCTCTATGACCAACACCTTCCCAAAGGAATTGGTATATAAATGGCTGTCCATACAACCATATGTTCAAATCAAGTGCATTGCTGATGACCTGTACGAGATGTTCATCCTTCTCCTGATCACCGTATCGAGGATTCACCCAAGGGAAGAAAGTAAGCGAGAAATGTTCCGCAGCTTCTCGGATATCTGATTGACGAGATGGATTTGGAGGGGAGGCGGTGTGGAGGTGGGTGGCTAACCGTTTGTAGAGGATGTATGCTGCTGAGAGGTCTGCATATGGGTTAGTGGTTAGCGTTTTACTGAGAAGACTGGGGATGCATACCTGGAGTTCTCTTGAATTGCTCTCCTCCCTGTATACCAGCAACATCTCTTGGAAACAAAGCCGTATCGCTACCTCCAAAAGGTGATGTGATGCTCAGAACATACGCCATTAGTGCATGCTTGATGACAACAGTTGGTCTCGAAGAATCCTGCAACATCTCCGCCGTATTTTCTGTGCCCGTTCCAAATCTACTTAACCCGCTCTCCATACTCGGCGTAATAGACGCATGTACATCCCGGTAGAAGTTCTCAACGTGCAACTGGACCTGGTCAAACAATAACGAAGCCTTCTCCTTCACAGTCCGATCATCTGCGGCTTGCGGGAGCACACCAGCCGAAAAGTCAGAAGAATGAGACAAGTCTGTCAAATCGGTGTCGCGCTTTGATATTCCTACTGCTGCAGCTGCAGCACCGTGTGGTAGCGGGGCCTGAGACATCTCTTGAACATGGGAGTCCGGGCCTGCCTTAGCAAGAGAGACAAGCTCCGGATGCGCGTCATATCCTGAATGTTGTCGAGACCGATTTCGACGTTTGAACAATAAAAACGCTACCAGAAACGCTATTGCAGCACCGACAATGGCTGTTCCGATTGCAATACCAGCCACAGCACCCTTGGAAACGCCGTTGGATTTACGAGAGACCGTAGCAGCTGGTACTGAATTTCCGGCTCCGGTCTGTGAGGCCAGCACAGCAGAATCGGTGGCACTTGAGATCGTGAAGACAGCGGTGGTGCCTGGATTGATCGTTTCTATTCCAAACTGCGAAGTGACTGGGGCTTCCGGCCCAGGGTTGTCTCCGAAGGAAGGTGTAGGTGTGCCGCCAACCACATGCATCGAAGTAGTTGAGATTTCGAATGCATTATTTGATGTCGAAATGTCGATGGGTCCTTCAAGAACTTCGGTGCAAAACGGCCTTTGCCCCGGACTGGTAAAACATGTGCTCACCATTGCTGGTGATATAAAATATCAACAACGAAATGATAGACAATACAGGTTGAGAAGAGAAGGGAGATGGAATGTGACTCCTTTCGCAGGGCTGCAGCTGAAAACGTATCCCGAGTCAGATCGGGCTGAGCATTGAGGCTTGGTACTGACTCGCGTAAAACTTCCTCACGATTTTCGCCCCCAATGCTGACAGTTTATCAAAGACGCGTCCCGTGAGATCCGAATTACTTCGGACCCCGCTCCAACTCCTTACCGGAAAGGGTTGACATTTTGATTGGCGCGAGGCCTTCATAATGGTCTGTTATCAAAGGCTCAGCCTCGGTCTCAGGCGTCCCGCATAACGTGCAGGCCGTGCCATGAAAAGCATCATTTGAGTGGGTGAAAAGAAGGCAAAAATTAAGCTAATCTCCCGGCGCATCGGGAACGACAAACAGGGTGTGGACTAAAGAGCTCTAGCAAGGCCAACAGGTTGAAGAGGGAACAGGGCGGAGGATTTCCTGAGTGGAGAGCGGCGTCCTCACCTTCTTCGTGTATCTCATACTTCAAAACATCCGTCTTGTCGTACGTGCTGTGAGCTACTGACCCTGTTCGAAATGGTTGGAGTACTCTGTCTGTTGGCCCTCCTGCAATTCGCGTCGTTTGCAACGGCTACGCGCTTCGCAGGCCTCCTGGCACAGGAAACACCACTCGTTCCTGGATACTTTGCAAATGAAGCTCCCATCCCTCAACCAACATCTCCTCCACAAGCAGTTCGACAACTTGTACCTCGAGACCGTGCGACATGCGGCTATATGATGGCGAACGGAGCGGCCAATGTCTGTGGAGACTCACAATATTGTACAACTTCGGCTGCTGGTGACTTTGGAGTCTGGAACTGCTGCAATCCAGGCTCTTGTTTCTTGCAAGAGACCTGCAGTTACAGCGTTGAATGGTATGACCATAGCCTGCGAAGTCATGTCACAATGTAGTCTAATGATCTAATAGCAAGGGAGACTCGCCTTACTGCGTGACATCATATATGAGTCAAGATGGCACGACGTTCTCAAGGTTCATGTGCGGAACGACGTCCTCAATAGTTTTTATGGTTTACAGCTCCTCGGATCTGCCCCAGTATACTTCGAGTGTCCTGGCCGCCTCGCGATCATCGGTCCTTGCCTCAGCCTCGGCAGCTGCAGAGTCTTCGAAAGCTGCTGCAGAGGCTAGCTCATTATCTGCAAACCTGGCCTCGCAGTCGGGAATGTCAACCATCCAAGTTACCCATGTCGTGACCGCTTCTGACGGCCAAGTTTCGACTGAAGTCTTCATCTCAACCGCCGCTCTCGGCCAGCAAACTGGATCCCCAACGTCTTCTAGCGCAGCCAAGCCAACGAGCTCAGGCGGTGATGGTGGATTGAGTACTGGAGGTATTGCGGGTGCTGTCGTTGGTTCTGTTGTCGGTATCGCCATCATTGGAGCGCTCGCGTTCATCGCATATAGGATCAAAAAGAAACAAAGCGAGGACAAAGACGAGGTGCCCCAGATGACTGGAGTGCCAGTCGAGCACTACAAGCAGTATCCGACCTCTCAGGTTGGCTCTATTAGTACGCAGCAGTGGCCTGGGGCTCAACAAGCCCAATGGCAAGGATCTCAGGCACCAACTCAGTACACTGGATCGCAGAATGGGCACTCGACGAATGGGCACTGGCAGTAGGAACGGAAAGAATGCGCTTCATTCACTTTCAGTGCATGGAAATCTATGAGATTGGATCATGAAATTGGAATCATGAAATTAGAGCATGTGACATGAACATTGGAGCAACGAATCATGGCTAGTCTTATCGATAGTTACTAGCTGATTAACTATCAATTAGTCATTTAACTTAGGGCTTCTTTCTACTGTCTAGTTTTCCTCAACTGCTTTCTTCCCTACCTAAATGCAGCTCATCTCTGCGCAATCTTTCTTTGTATGATTTCAGAGAAGGCCACTGGTAGCACAACACAAAGCACTTTAGAAAATATTTCACCATATGCAATAAAGGTTCATTTTTCAAGTGGTTACTACGCTTTCCTCTCATCCTCTCATGCGCCCTTCCAAGCGCCAACAATGCACGACTTAACCAACGATGTATCCGTCCATGAATTTCCATTCTGGGTCGGGGTCTCGTTCAGCTCATAAGTTGTCGAGAATCCTCCTGCAGCCCAACCCACATATCCAAGGTAGACGTCTGAGTTTTGGCTATTCATTCACGTCAGCTTTCTACTTCTGTAAATGCGTTCCTCTGGTGTACCTACTTCAAGAACTGCAGCTGAGCACACAAATACTTTTGGCAACTGGCCGTATTTCCTCCTCCTGTCTCCGTCAACATCGCTTGCCTGTTGTTCGTCTTCAGCCACGTCGCAAGAGGTTTGAACGCAGTGTCGATGTTGTCTTTCACACATTCTGTGTGCGTTCCTGAGTTATCGCTGTCTAGGTACTTGTGGACGTCCATAATCAAGTTGTCCGTTGTTTTATCCGGGTTGGTAACTTTAGCCAACGCATCCGCAGAACCAGAAGACACAAATGTTTCCGCGCTGGTATAACCCTGTCCTGGGAGAAGAATCAAGTTGGTTGTCGCGCCGGCCCCGCGGATCGCAGTGACGACCTCTTGCACAGTGGCGGCCCAGATTGTCATGTCCTAATCTTTTGTCAGCCACCTCTCTATTCACACATACGAGGGAAGCGACTTAGAGGGAGAACATACCGGCATATCATGGGGCTCGTTCATGACTCCAAATGCGATCTTTGAATTCTTCCCATACTTTGTCGCCAACTGCTTCCACACGTCCGCTAACTGGGCATTCGTCGGACCTCCCTGGCCGACAATCTTCCCATTCCACCTCGCATAATTGTGCAAATCCAGGATACACAGCGCGGCGCCTGAATTCAAGCACCCTTGCACCAACTTATCATACTGGCCAGCGTTGTTCGCGTTCAGTGTTCCACCAAGCTGGCCGTTTACTAAGAATTGCCAGCCGACGGGGAGACGGAGGGTGTTAAGCGTGTCGTCTTTAACAAAGTGGTTCATCTGGCCAACAGCGTTGGCGCCCGTGACGATGTCGTACGGCTTCGACATTCCGGTTAGGGAGCATGTACCATCAGTCGTGCAGCCAAAGTCGAATCCGGCGATATTGACGCCAGCATATTTGACCTTTGTTGCCGTGGGAGCAGCCGCTACGATGGCTGTGCTGGCGAGCGCTGATATGATAGCAGCTTTCATGTTGAACCCAAGATGCTCAACCTAAATGGACCGGAATTGGGGTATTACAATGATCGGATGGCAGACAGTTACCAGCGTTGGAGGATCCAAGCACCATTTATACATCTACAAACCGACCGACTGATATTAGAAACATGCAGGATTCAGGCCCGGACCACCGCTATCAAATAAACAAATCCTTCTCAATCCACCGCCGGTTACACATCATTGGTACCCACACTCTGCTGGAAACAAATCCAATCGAATCCATGGGTTTAGAGCCTCAAAGGTCGCCTTCCCTTTTCGCGGCCAGCATGACCATACCCTCCACAATTCATCAAATCAGAGACTCCACAATCGCGTCAGCATAGAACCCGATATTAACGGAGCAAGGTACGGTTGCGCAAGTAAAGTACAGGTTAGGATTTCATTGGGCCAAGGGACACCGTGAAGATGGTCATGGCTGAAAAGCTTGATGAGGCTTGAGCAAGCTTGCTGAGGCTTGGTTTAGATTGATGAATTGTGTACCTGGTTTTGAAACGGTAAGTAGGGATCGTCGAGGTGCGGTTGCATCCCTGGAATCACCTGTTTATTCATGACGGGACAATTCTTGCAACATTGAGGATCAGATCAGCACTCTCACATTGAGCTGGCCTGAAACAAACCTCGGTCCCCAGACACACTAAAATTTAAGCTGCAAAGGTACGTTCAAACTGGCAAAGTACATCGATCATCATTCATGCATGCAAGCCTCTTACTCTTTTCAAAGCTCTTCCTGTCTATGCGAGTGAAGTGCTGTTCAAGGATTCCCCGCACTGTTTCATCATCGAATAAATGAAGCTGCACCCCTGTATCCGGACCGAAACTCCTAAATGCATCTCCGTTGCATATTACCCGAACAAGGACGGCAATCGCGCAACGCGCAATCCGGATGGTTTGATCTGTGGAAGCCTTCGAGAAGCCTGTGGGCTTCTTGATCCGGGGTTTTGGGCAGACATTTGGACCAAAAATTTCTTTTCATACCCTGGGTGAGGAGGTCAGTGGCTGTTGGCACACCAGACTGAGAACCATTCGTGTTTTAACACGTCAAATGAACCTCTGCGAGGTTCCTTTTCCACCATACACCGCTCTTCTTTGCAAAAGTCTCTTCCGTAGACAAGATAGATGTTACATCGAGCCCCAAGTGCGGCTGAACCTTTCGAACAATACTTCTAAGTTAGCTAGTCGTGGGCAGCATTTCGAAGGTGTTGAGGTTTCCTTCAAAAAGCTGACTCTTCAGAGAACCATCCAATACTGCGGACAGTGGACACTTCACAAAAACTGATTCATCACATGATTCAAATTGCGAGCCAGTTCGTTGCAACAGAAGTTATAAATATGGGGGCGAATATGAAAAGCAGGAAGCGTAAGTGAAAGCAGGGGGAGAACGTGAAAGCAGGGGAGTGGACGTGAGGGCGGAAGGGAGTAGGGAGGTAGGCACTGAAGCTGGGGTGACAAGACTTTTGTAAATGTGAAGGCAGAGAGGCGAACGAAAAGGAAGAGGGGTGAATGTAGAAGTAGGAAGTGTACGCGAAAGTAATGAGGCAGACATGAAAGTAGGATAGTCTACCTGAAAGTAGGAGGCTGTAAGTAGAAGGAAAAGAGTCGAGGTAAAAATTAATGTACATGCGTGAAAGTAGATATGCAGATGTGAAATCGAAATCCATCGAAATCCATCTCAACGTACGAAAATTCACCCTCAAGATCAGTACATGTTAGAGTATGTGTGCGGCATTGTGTAAAAGCACTCACAAGTACGTAGCCAAGTTAATGAGTCGAATAAAAGGACCGAGTTAAGTAACTAGACAGCGTGTTATTGTTCAGATGCCTACCCACAACTGTGAAAACGGCCTGGTGGATGTAATTTTTCTTAACCAGGAAAAACATACCACCAAACGTACGAAGATATCCATTCCTATGCTATACACTACATCGCTCCTTTGCAGTCTGTATCAGATCTACACAGAATACAATAGCTCGTATACACCACCCAGACATACATGTCCACCTAAAACCCGTTCCCTCTATCTCTCTTCACTCGTCCTCTGCTTGTCTCAGGCGAGGTAGTCCTCCCTTTCCACTCCAATGCAAAACTGGAGAGCCAGTATGCCATCCATGGTACCTTAACGCCATGCAAAAGCTAAACGAATATTTCCAAAATGCCGATCTATCCCCGGTCGGTGATAAAATGATGTAGCTCCAAGAAAAACGCCATGTCTTTCCCCGCGCAATGATCGTAAAGGGTATTTTTCATCAATACCAAGGAGTGTTTTCCCCAGTTCCATAGGCCAATGCAAGTGATATTCGGTGCGAAAATAAACACTCAAAAAAACAAAACAAAATACAACAGAACAGATATTTCTAGGGGTTCGATGCGGAACTATGCATACCGCACGCTTGAAATTCGCTGGAACATTGGCGGTGGAGGACGAACTGGATTTCCCTGCCACCTAGGTGGACCGTTCTCAGTCATCAATGGACCGCCACTGCCATTCGGGCTTTGCGGGCCACCATTTCTCCTGCCGCCGCTTCTTGAACGGCGGTAGCCGCCACTGGGAGGGAATTGCGGAGGCATGGTACGATATGGCATGCTTTGGGCATAGATCTTTCTCGTCTTTCTGCGTCTGAAGCACCGCCAACAGCACCCGAGGATGGAGAGGAGAAGGAGGCCGCCGATAGCGGATGCGATACCGATGACGAGGGGTTTGTGATCATCGATCCAGGACTTGACTTCTACGCCTATTGAAGCGCCTGAACATCGCCCCTAGAGTAGGATTAAAATCAGATCTAGAACGTGTGTACGATTAGAATCTTACATTTTGACATTTGCCACCCCCAGTGCAGGGAGTACCATCCAAAAAGTTCTGCTGCAGACCGTAGCACACTCCCCGTCCGAATTCCGGACTTGCGCAGCTGAGCATACAGTTGCTATTGTCGCAAGCATATGTGTCATTGCCCTGTGTGTAACTTCCCATAACAGTCTTGCACTGCTGGTCTCGTGACGTGCATTGTCCGCTCGCACACTTTAGACCGTTTCCGCAGTCACTACCATCGGGATTTGTTTTATCCGTAGGACAATAAGGTGAGGTGCCTGTACACTTCTCTTCGGGGTCGCATTTACTGGAACTAGAACGACAGACAGTGCTCGCGGACGCAAGCTGGCAGTTTTTGCAGCAGTCTTCGTTCGAGTCATCGCAGACGGCGCCGGATTTGAATTTGCATGTCTTAGCATCACAGCAAGCGTTGCTACCGCAACCCTCTGTGCCACCACAATCACAGTCTTCGCCCTCTTCGACGATTCCGTTGCCGCACTGTTGACCAGAGATGGTGGTGACGCCCTTGTTGTTGGTAAGGCAGGTAGTCTTGACACTATTGCGTCCCATGGCAGAGCAGATGTTACCAATGGAACAAGCGGAGAATCGGGTAATGCCCTGTGCCGTGGAAGGGTTCATAATGAATTGTTCCCCAGCATCGCAGGTGGTGGAGCTGAGAGGGCAGCATTGCTGGGAATTTACGGTATTCTGGTCTCGGCATGTGTTCGCAGTGCAGTCGTGGACCGCACCGAAAGTGTGGCCGGTTTCGTGGCTGAAGATGTATAAGTAGGCGAAACAGTACCTCTCGGAGAGAACTTACGCAATGACCTGCCATTCCGTCGACGTCCGCACTACCACATTAGCTCCAGCTACGGTTTCTGCGTTACCGTCTGACGAATTAGAGCCTTGAGATCCGGTCGTGCAGACCTGTCCGAGCCACGCCAAGCCCACCGCAGAACCGGTATTACAAGTACTCAGAAGGGTCCAGTGCGAATTGGAATCCTTTTGCTGGCCTCTCCACGCCGAGAAAAGGTTCAACCGCGCCTGGATTTCGACATTACTATTGCATGCCTGGTTCCACGGCGTCGCTGCGTTCGGGGAAGTAGGACAATCCTTTTCCGTCACGACCAGGTTGGCGAGACCAAGCGAGATGTTGAAAGTGCTCTCGAAAAGACTTGATGCTGTGTTCATTTGATTGATAACATTCTGGCGCGTCGACTCGGACGAATTGAACTGGGCAGTGTATGTGCAGTCGGTGGCGACGCCGACGAGGGCGACCTTGCGAGTCCCAGGACAGCCGACGGTGCTGCCAATCGACGAGACAAGGTTGACTCCTGCGCCATTGCCTCCTCCGGGAGAGTTGTCCAGCTGTCGCTTGCCCATCAGCGATGAAATCGGGGCGGTCCAGAAGCCATCCTCTCGCCGCAGCATGCTTGCATAGATGGGGTGTTCGGGCATCATATTAAACTCCAGCGAGTCGCTCTGACAGCTTAAATGCTCCCCCCTCTTCTTCAACTCCGAGTGCTCCTGCTCATTAGAGATATCGGAGTCCCTGAACACCACCATGAACTCGTCGTCCCGCAAATCGATGTTCGGGTCCAAATCATGGCGTGTCTGTTTATAATTCGAAGAAAGCTGTACGTGGTGATGGTCGTGGTCCACAGTGAAGGCGCCCTCAAACAGTGGGTCCACGCCGTCCCTGCGGATGGTGATGCGGGCCCACCCCACATTGTCCCAGCGGTCCCCTCTCTTCAACCACGTTTTCCCCTTGAACACCTTGTGCTCTAGCCGGTTCAGCGGCTCCTCCTTGGTGATGCGGCCATCCGCCCCAAGATACTGCACCTTGGCTCCGTCGACGAAAATGTCGTGGTTCGGCTCTAGGCTTAGCCTTATGCGGGTGCTGGAGAAGTCGAAGACTACATCGAATGTCGACAGTGCCGTCACGCGGTGGTTCTGGGTGAGGATGGATGGGTTCTTCGCGAGTCCTAGGGTCTTGAGCGGGTTTCGCGCGGTCGAAGATGCGCTGATAAGTGCGACGGAAGCAATCGCAGCGACGGCAGTGAAGGCCCGCGAGATTAACATAACGGAGGCAAACTCCCCGTCGAGGAGAAGGTTCGCAGGGCAGCAGGAAAGCGAGAGGAGTTACCGGCGGGGCAGCGCAGCGAGTGACATAGATGTGTATTATTGTGCAGGCCGGTATGGAAGTAGCGCTGGTGTAATCAAGAAGAGCGGAGGTTGATGAGAGGCCAAAGTCCCGTCGTAATCGCTGCAGGCTCAGCCCCCCCCCAGCGAAGGCCCTTGGCGCAGGCTGGCGGAGAAACGGCGCACTGGGCAACATTATCCACTCTGTAACGCCAATGAGACGCCTCCCTCTGAGCTCACTCGTCACTTTCGCTGTTCTTCGCGAGCACAAGCGTCAAACGCACATTTAGTCCATTGGCATTGTGGCATCTGGGCCTGTTGAAGCGTCTGTGTGACACCTTCGACACCTGCACGCCTGGGTCGGCTTGGTACAAACAAAGAACCTTCATTCAGGATATAGTTAATTACTAAAAACAGCCGCAGCGTAGAAAAAGGGTCCCGTGTCTTCAGCACCAGTCTTGTCTCATCCAGTCAAAACACTTGCCGAAGCCAGCGTGCGCCCGACTCCTCTCAGCTCACGGATACAAAGATGCCTTACAGCCGCCTGAAGTCCAAGAATTTGTTTCCATCATTGCTTCGCTGGGTACCTCAATATTTGCCCGCATTCCAAACCTACCCTCCACCCATCTTACATGGTGAGTCCCACGCCACGTCTACTTCTTCTTGGCAGTGTGCACCACATCAATTATCTTGTCGACAACCGAAGGATCCGAGAGCTGCCGCAAATGTTAGCCTCCGCTCTTGGCAAGACGCGTCACCAACACCACCACGAGCAGCGCTGAAGAAAAAATCCAAGGCTTGCTTACTGTTGTGACATCGCCCAGCTGGTCCTCCTCACCTGCCAAGATCTTTCGCAGGATACGACGCATGATCTTTCCTGATCGCGTCTTGGGCAGATCTGGAACTACATAAATCGCCTTCGGTGCTGCGAAGGGGCCAATCGACTTTCGGACTTGGAGGATCAAATCCTTCTTTGTCTGATCACTGGTCCCATTTCCGTCTTTCAACGACACGAAGGCGTTCACGGCCTGGCCGGTCAGTTCGTCGTGCACACCCACGACCGCAGCTTCGGCGACGGAATCTATGCAATTATCAGTCATCTTATCCAAGCGTCCGCATTGGGGTTGACATACGATGCTCAATGAGCGCGGCTTCGATTTCTGCGGTTGACAGCCTGTGCCCAGAAACGTTGACAACATCATCCACACGACCCCGGATCCAGTAGTAACCCTCGTGGTCACGCCCAGCACCGTCTCCAGTGAACTGTAGACGTCAGCATATGTCTTAACTCCATGGTCTCTGGGTTACTCACGTAATATCCCTTGTACACGTTCAGGTATGTGTCCATATACCTCTTGTGTGCTCCCCAGACTGTTCGGGCCATGCTTGGCCATGGCTGCTTGAATGCTAGCACGCCCTCGACATCGTTTCCGTGAATTTCGTCGCCTGATACGGGGTCAATGATGGCAGGCTCGATGCCGAAGAAGGGAAGGGAGGCAGATCCCGGCTTCGTTGGCGTAACACCGCCGAGTGGCGTGATAACGTGGGAACCAGTCTCGGTTTGCCAGTATGTCTGCAATCATCAGCATCCCCTTTCGTTCTCATAGGAACTCCGACTTTACTCACGTCAACAACATGTGCTTCCTCCTTTCCTACAATCTCAAAGTACCACTTCCAGACCTCAGCAGCAATCGGCTCACCCACAGATCCTAGAATCCTGAGATTCTTCATCTCGTGCTTAACATGCTGGTCACCAGCGCGCTTCAGTAACCGCAGAGCAGTGGGCGCGACATAGAATTGGCTGACGTTATACTTGTCAACGATATCCCAGTAGCGCGAGAAGTTGGGGTACGCAGGAGTTCCCTCGAAGACAACAGTGGCAACACCAAGCAGCAGCGGGGCGTATACGACATAGGTGTGACCAGTAATCCAACCCACATCACCACCACAGAAGAAGATGTCCTTGTCATGGATATCAAAGACGTATTTTCCAGTCGCTGCGGCTCCAATCAGGTAGCCACCGGTCGTGTGCATGACACCCTTGGGCTTACCGGTTGAACCAGATGTGTAGAGCAAGAAGAGCGGGTCCTCGGAGTTCATGGATTCGGGGGCAATGTAGGCAGGGTACTTGTCGACCTCTTCATGCCACCACAGGTCTCGTCCCTTGGTCCAGGGAACATCCGCGCCAGTGCGCTTATACACCAGACAGTGGGTAACATCAGGGCACTGCTTCAGAGCTTCGTCGACAATCTTCTTCGTACCAATGACCTTTCCGCCGCGCTTACCTTCATCCGTAGTAATGACGACCTTGGATTCGGCATCAATAATGCGGTCACGGAGGGAGTCGGAGGAGAAACCGGCGAAGACGACTGAGTGAACAGCGCCGATACGCGCACAGGCCATTAGCGAAATAACTGCTTCTGGAATCATGGGTAGATAGATAGCAACAGTATCACCCTTCTTGACACCCATCTCCTTGAGCGTGTAGGCCAGCTTTGAGACCTCGCGGAGGAGCTCTGCATAGCTGATGGTGCGGCCATCGCCGGCCTCATCAGCCTCGTAGATAATAGCCGGCTTATCAGGGTTTTTGAAAGCATGGCGGTCAATGCAATTGTAACTGGCATTTAGTCTGCCTTCAACAAACCAGGCATTGTCGCCACCCTCGAAGCTGCCAGCATGCACGGTCTGGAAATCGCGTTCCCACGTGAGCATTTCACGGGCCAGACGACCCCAGAACTTGTTGGGTTCCTGGATAGACTCTTTGTACAATTGCTGGTAGTGTTCGAGGCCATCAAGATGCGGTTTTGTGTGTGGATGCTTCCTGTGAGGTCATTTGTTAGCGCCCTTTTCATTTCTTTCGGACTCTGGGGGTGGCTGATTGCGATACGGGCTTCCCAGGGACGTTGGGCGTCGCGGGGTTTACCCCGCTCTGCCGCGCTTTCGCTCAGAGCTTGGGACAATGGCAGCTGTCATGATTGCTGGCTATGATGCAACGAAAAGTCGCAACTTACTCATAGAAAGCCTTGGGGACGTGGAAAGTGTCGACCTCGTGGGCCTCTGCCACCACGGGGTTTGCAGGTTTGACGGCGCCTTCAGACATGTCTGTGTTCGTGGATGTATTCAGCCAAGAGGGGCACGGTCAGAGCTGCGGGGAGAGGGTTGCCAGAGCAGAGCTGTAGGAATGCAGGATTGCGGCGCTCTTTTGCTGTGTAGACGGAGCAGAGGATGGGTCCTGTGAAGATATATGTCTCAATTCCGGGTAAAGGGCTCGGAGGATGAGATTGATTGCACAGGTATTGAAGCTGCTCGCGTCTCGGAGAACAGCTGCCTGGCGAGGGAGGCAGTCTCGGGGCGAGGCTATGGAAGAGGTACAGTAACGCAACGACGCAACAAGTGAGGGAGACAACAGTGGGATTATTGGTACGGGTAGGGTAAAGCAATAATGGGGCGTCTGGCTGCTCTTATGATGTCTTCAAGGGTAGCTTCCCGCGCGCCGAAATTTGAGAAAAGCCGCTCGCCGTACCGGTTCGTCCACGCCTCGTGCCCGTCCAGGCGCATGTGTCGCTGCTGCGGGGAGAAGGGAAAATGACGAACGGCTGTGCTGCGAAGTTCTTTGTCTGGGCCCACGCAGTGGTCCGCTTTCCACGCACCTCATCGCCGGGGGGCCACTTACGCTGCTCTTGGCGGGGCCCTGTGATGAAGAAAGTCCCATTAGTCCGGGGCCACAGACCCGTACCGCGGCCATTGTTAAAGGAAAGCCGGTGGCTGCTGATCTGTCCACTGATGCTGTCTACCCTCTAAAAGCATGTCTTGAATCTTTGTTGATCGGGCAGCTGCGTGGTGAAGTATGATGTTGAAGGCTTGAAGCTGCTGAAACTGGGCGCCGGATCTGGAAATGAGGGATACTGCAGCCGGGCGGGTTCTGGTCAGCGGAACTCTGTGCTCTGTCTGTGTCTGGATGAACGAGGTTACAGAGCAACAGGCGGCTAGAGCCATTCGGGATCCGTAGTTCTCAAGTTGTGTAGCTCAATGCAAGTACCTGCATGCCCGTTCCAGCAATCAGCAAGCCACACAGTGCAGCGCTCGCAACCCGAAACTGCAAGTCCAGCAGTGCATGACTACACGACTGCAGCGTGGCCTTATCATCAGTCCATATAAAACCTTCCAAGGTTCGTCAAGGAAAAGCATCACGATCTTCATTGCCATTTCTCCAGGCTGCGATCCGGTACCCCATAGTCATTCACTTAGACTGCCTACCCTGAATAGGCCAAGACTCCGCCTCGGCCTCAACCACGCGAGACTTGCAAGCATCTGGCCTGATCAAAACCGCACGCAGTCTCGGACTTGGGGAAGCACCATGGCCCGAGGCGCTGGCTCTTGATAGCCGATGGTTGCCCTTGCATTGGCATTGGTGAACTGCTTCCGAGGAGCGATTTATTCTCGTCGTTGAAGAAGAAAGTCGTCGTGTTGAGGAACACGGGTAACCCTTTGCCTGCATACTTGAGCAAGAGGGATTTATCTGTGTTTGATATTTGATATCATCGAGGCTAGTGCCGTGGAGAGCGGCTCCGCGCTAAGTATACCTCCTAGGTATTCCCGACTTTCGCCCTCATCGAACTTTGATATTCGATACACCCAATTCATAATACACATTCACCCAACATTCCTTTCGACAATGCCCAGCCCTAAACCTGCACCTTGCACCCTTCCAACGCTTGTCTTCCCCGCTCCCCGCATCCGTATATCATGTCGCCATGATGGCCACACGCTCACCCACCCCACACTTTTGCCAATACTTCCCTTTCGACATAGCCCTTTCGCCGTGCTGATTCGCCGCAAGCGACTGGGCATCCGCGCTTGGCAAACCAGCGCCCAGATTCCCCAACTTAAACATCAGCCAATACCTATGTCCGGCTCGAACATGTTCGCATGATGCTCGTACGCGATGGCGGGACCTTTCCTTGTCTCCACGCGGATAACTTGCTGCGGATATGCTTGAGCGAGAAGATGTCAAACAGCTGTGCCCCAATCTGTTATTGGGTACCCTTGCGCCGTGAAATGCGCCGCATATCGCGCGCATATACAAATTCTTAATATGAGTAGGGTTTAGCAAGTTTGTTGGCTGGATCGGAACCCATGACAGATGTAAAGACAGGGATTGAACCTTGCATGAATTGACTCTAGTACTGGAGCGAAGAAGAAGAAGAAGTAGAAGAAGAAGAAGAAGGAAGAGGAAGAGGCATCTTCTAAGGCGACACGATAACATAAAGGTATCAGGCAGGTAAAGAATCCCAACCTCCACCCGAGGAATACAAAGGTTCCTTAACGCCAGAACTGTGAGGTCCTCCCAAAACAAATGTTGTGCTAACCGAAAGCAATCCCAGACGCCGGTATTCAGTCGTAATGAAAATAGTTCCCGTGTCTCCGTGGAGTACACAACACCATCACTGTACACGCCGTGGGTCGCCCCATATTCCAATATCCATAAATTCTTCCGGCGTCCGTCCGGATTATCGATTACTCCAAGCTCGTCCTCATTTCTCGTTCAGCGACTCCGTTGTGCGTGTTTCCGCTGAGTCTGTATTGCTGATGGTAGAATCCTCGGTCCCTCTGTCTCCTTCTCGCTCCAACGCTGGTGATGCAGGCCCTTCTGACATGCTACTCTCTCGGACTCTCATTGCTACACTAGCAGCGATCTTCTCATCTAACATGCTCACAAGTCTTTCTGAGTACTGGTCCAAAAGCTTCACCATGACTGTCTCATCCACGCTTCTTGACTTGGCCTTCTCTCCCACCGCCCTTGCCGTTTGTGCAAGTTCGCGTTCAACCTCTTTCACAAGCTCAGAGCTGAGATCATCATTGCTGTTCGCGAGTCTTTTCCTGTATGCACGAAGGGTTCGACAAAGACTCTCGGTGGATGCCCCAAGACTCCCAAACTCGTTTACAGGTGGTTTATTACGAGTTCGGACGTCTACCATCGAGCGCTTCTTCGCGAGGATAGTGTTGTTGCGTGGACTGGGCGGAGAAGGGGATCGGTTCCTGTATGATTTGCGCAGCGATCCGTGTCCAGATGCACGGAGCTCCCGTGGGATGCTCGGCATAGGCGAGGGATCAAGCTTTGGAGCTTGAGCCAGCGAGAATTTGGAGAGCCTTTTCCGCAACTTTGGTGATCTGCTTCCAGTAGGTGTTTGATTGTCATCATCAGGAGATCTTTGGAAACGGGCGAGCTCTGACTGAGAGAAAACTCGTCGCAACGGCGGCTTACTCGCTAGGAGGTCGTAGTTTGTGGGAGTAATCGGGCCCAAGAGATCTACTGACTTCGATAAATCATGCCGGTAAGGGAATTTCATCTCCAGGCTCCAGATAAAAATAGTACCATCTACCGCAACTGTGACTAATGACCTCTGTCCGTCATCATCATCATCATCGGAATCTTGTGGCTTTACCAGAGCAATTGCGGTGACACCCTCAGTATGGCCCCAATCGCGCGCAACGAGAGTGCCCCCTTCTTCGTACAGGCGGATGGACTTGTCTGTACTTGAGACACCAGCGATCAAAGGCGGGCCTTGAGGACGTTGGATATGAACTAGAGATGACAAGACCACGGCATCACCTCCTTCAGTGTCTGCGGCACGGAAAGTGCTGAGGGATTGGCCATTTCGCAGGTCATACTTGTGAACCTGTCGGTCAATCGTCGATACTAAAAGAATGTCGTCCTGGTCGGCATCCCATGTCATTGAGACTGGAGTCGTTTTTAAGATGATAGTCCGCAGTATCAGGAACGCACTTATGATTTGACCTGCCTCTTCGCGTGAGACTAACTCGCGGACGACCAAGGTGCGATCGGAGGAACAGGACACAAGTCTGCTTCCATTCCTAGAGAAGAGAATTCCGGTAACAGCACCCACATGTTCGTCAAGGGTCTGCATTAATTCCCATACGTGGCCTTTCTTCGTAAAAACCTGTACCGTGCGATCTCTCGCCGCAGAAGCAATATACGCTGGCGTCTTCTCCTCGAAGATAGCAATCTCGGTAATGTCACTAGCGTGGGCTTTGAAGTCAAATAAGCTCGACTTGGTCTTGCAGTCAATTATCCTATTGCGATGTTAGCATTCTCTCATGGATGGGACACTAGAAAAGCAACTTGCCTGAGAACACCGTACTTGTCACCAGTCACAATATAGCTCGCACCAACTGATACTCTCACGGTTTTCAGCTCATTTAGATCGGCCTCAGAGCCTTCAATTTGTTCAAGAGTGATTTGCAAAGAATCCTTGCAGACACCCTCCTGGCTCCAGAAAAGGACTGATCCTCCTGCGGACCAGGTGTAAAATGAGGCATCGATGGCGTTTGGCTGGGTGAGCGCAGCCACACCCAGCACGGAATCACCGTGGGCCGGTAGCTTCTGGACAACATCACCAACTAGGGATTCGTCGTCAGCGGAGCATAAATGTGATAAGCGAATCGAACGCTGCGAATCTACGGTGACGAGATGATCAATGAGCGGCGTAATGGCTTCGACTTGGATGGAATTGGTTGTTAAAGACACCACTGGTGATTGAACTCGAGGTGGCGGCGAAGGAGGCGGTGTTAGTACTCCAATCATCTCTTTAATGGCCAGAGTTTTCAGGCCTCCCTGGCTGCTAGCCAAGTGCAGTCGTCCTTTTGAATCCACGGCCATGGATGACACTGAAAATCCGGCCTCGGCGACCTTGGTGAAGCGCTGAGATCCTTCAGTATCGTCAATGAGGCATATATCTCCTTTGTCAGAGGCGACAATGGACTTAGATGGGGCAACCGCAACGACGCTCGTGAAGTTTGCTTCAAGGAGGGATTCCAGGAGACAGTTTCTGCCTGGTAGTGTTTTATGCGTGCTACTCGAGAGGAGGAAGGAGACATCACTCTGTCTTGGTCTTGACATTCGAGGTGTAGAATTTGGATCTTCCACCCGCCAAACCTTGACATGTCTCGTGCCGACACTATAATGCCGTTAGCGATGACCTTCATTCCAGCCCAATCCTTGGGGTTCTCAAAGTAACACCGCCTGCTATGCGAATAGGAAAGCTAACCCCGACTATTACGATGACACTGTTAAAGGACAACGAGCACTTACGTGATCAGACTTGACCCCATCCAAGCCATTCTATTGATGTTACTAGTACATTTGTTGCTGGAATGTAGTGTTGCAGCCCCGGTCCGGGAATTGATGTTCCATATGTATAAGAAGCCATCATTGGAAGAACCCAAGCTAGCCAGATATTGCGAGTCGGGGCTAAAAGCGACGCATCGGACGCCGAAAGTGTGGTCGGATAGAGAGGTGAGAGGAGTGTCGGACGGAGCATCGGAGGCGGTGGAGAATATCAGCACACGCGGCTTATATCCCGTCTGAACCAGTCAGTACAATCCATACCAGGCAAAAAGGCCCATACCTCTCCTATAGCCAGAAATTTCCCATCTGGACTGAATGATACACAAGTTGCAGCTTTGATCCTTTCCCGGGCGGTCCAGGTCCTGCATCCGGGAGAATCCGCCCAGTCGTTCGCGGGGGAGGCGAGCGACGAGGCACCTATGCCAGCATCGCGCAGTGAGGCAGCAGTTCGGTTCCGACTTTCGTTTTGGGTCGGGGTTGAAGGGCCACCGTAGACGGAAGATGAGGGGTTGAGGGGGTTGGTGGTGGGGCGGGCGCGGTAGAATCGCTGGGTGAGCTGCTGGTGGGCGTCGACCGTCGCAATGACGGCAGCAGCTCCGGCGGTGAAGCCAAAGCATCTGCCCGAGGGGAGGCTGTCGAAGGCATTGGCCGAACTAGCAGTAGTCCCAATGACCTGCTTGAGCGAGAGGTTCACTTCGGCGCGGCTGGGCTTGATAGGTGACCGCAGCGGGGTGGTCTTCACGAACGGCGAATTGGACGGGGTGAGCTTGACGCTGCCGCCCCAAGGGCTCATCATCCGGGGGTTAGATGGAGTGAGGGACATCGCTTAGTCCAGGGAAGACGGGGTATGCGATGCCTGGCGATGCTGCACATGTCATCGAACCGTCATGGCAGTTGCGCTTGCCGGAGGGACGTTGCGGTGTGGTTGGGTGGTTGGTGAAGCGATGAGAGGGAATGCAACTCGGGGGGCTGCAGGTGGTGGCCACGTGCTGAAAAGTAGCCAGGAACCGCGCAATTGAGGGCGATATAGGGCCAATTCAGGTACAGTAGGACGGTCTGACGGTTTGCGCAACAGTCATCGTAGGTGAAGTGAGAGATTCATGCACGGTGAAAGCCTGGGGTGAACGGACTGGTTTGATTTCGGGCCATCAACACAAAAGAAATGATCAGCGGGAACGCACAGGCACGCTGGACCGGGACCCAGCTCCAAGAACCCTTCACTGTCATTCGCCGCCTCGCTGCTGTCACCATGCATCACCACAATCACATCCTTTCATTGTTTCACTCTTGCACACATTCGTCACTCGTCATACCGTTTCGGGCGCGTCGAGGGGCGCGGATGCTTGACGCTTAGACAACCTTGGAACTAGGGACGCGGACGGACCATCGTCTCGCTTGAATGCCCATGGTGAATCTCAGTTCTGGGCTGCCCTCCACGACCGGGATCACGAAGAGCATCATGCAAGGGCCCGCTAGAGCAGCAGGGTCCAGGGATTGTGCGGTCAGGCCAAAGTTATGACCAACACCATCAGACCTCATCGTCTTCTAAAGTTACGGCAGCGTCGAGGCACTCTTCACACAAGGCCATGGCTTATCAACAGTGGGAAAATGGGTGGGGTTCGAAGGGACTCACTTTATGTCCACAAATAAGTTCTTCCTCAACCATGCACAGAACAGAAAACACGTATGACAAGCACTTCCAATCTCATCGACTCCAATTTACAGAGGTTGGCTGAGAAAGTTCAAGCACCTAGCCAGTGCTCAAGTGAGCCTGTAAAGGAAGATATGGTAACCAAGTCGATGAGGTATGCTATATCTTCAGCAGGTATAGGCCCCCTAATCGACCCCCTGGTGTGTCGACGGGTATCTCTACCTTTTCCTAAAAACAGGTTCAGCAAATCAAGTGCTCTCCATTCATATCACACGGTAGATCCAAATGCATCTGAGCTCATTGAATCGCTGACCGGGCCAGTCCTCTTCGACTTCCCCCTTCCAAGCCACCACAATCAGTGGAACCTGTCGGTGACGTTGCAATGATGCGGCTTCTCGCGGGGGCCATGTTTGGAGGGTCAGTGTATACCATCGCCCCAGTGGGCACCATTGTTTTCCAGGCCTTGGCATGATTGCACTTGTCCACGCTCTTGGATATCCTAGGGCCCTTCCATCACCGTACCCGCTCCCACCCAATCTTCCTCGCATCAAGCGTACGGACCAGAACCAAACAGACCACACAAACAGTTATCGTACCCCCAGTATAAGCGATTAATCCGGAGTAGTCCCTCGCCGAGAGCTCATCGTCCCTGCCCCTTTTAATAAGTGTTCCCGCGATTGGACCTCCAACGAGGTATGCGACCCCTTAGACAGTAGTGAATGCTCCAGAGTAAGGGTAGTATTGTTCGATGCCGAATAGGGCCTTCTGTACCGAGCTAATAAGCGATATGAAACAGCCGAATGAGATGTCGTAGACAACAAGATGAGCAATCTACAGTGGATTGTTGCTGGAATGCGCCGCCGCGAACCACAAAGACCAAACACTTAGTCCAGATATAGCCGTTCCACATATGAGAGTGTTCTACAGTCCGAATCTGTCGGCGACGTATCCTCCTAGTATCCTGGATGGAATTCTAACCCCACAGATTAAGGCTAACAGCAACGAGGCCGTGGAGCTGCTTCTGCCCATAGATTCGCGGAAATCCGCCCGAATACTAAACAAGTAGCAACAGTGAGCGGATTCAGGAAGTTGACAGCCATCAACATGGTGAAGATTGGGTCTCGGAATGTCTTCAGTGGCACAATCCGGAAACTATGTCTCTCGTATTTTCGAGCTGGAGGGGCAATGATACTCGCCGCTCCGAGGAGGACGGCCTACATGCACGCAAGCACTCGCAAAGTGTTTCTTGTCCCGATATCATGGAGCATCTCTTTTAGGAAAGGTGCGTAACACACACCACCGAGTCCGCCGGCTAGTTGTGCGTTAGCTTGACGAAAGAATTGGCAATCACCGAGACTTGCCTGCTGCGCTAACACCTTGTACGAGCCCGCTACGTTCGCTAAAGTACTCTGGGAGGATCGCTTGGAGTGTATACAATAGAACTCCGTTCCTAATTCCGAAGGGTATCCCTTGGGTTGCTAGGAGAGTGGAACAGCTAGACCAGGGTGGCAGCGTTAGTATTTGTATTCTAAAGTTAAGTGCAACTCACATTTGTACTTGCTGACGCCGTCAACAGGCCTAATGTTACTATGGTCGTTCCAAAACAGCAAACCCATGTGATATGTCGCCCAATCAATGGGATAAACGGGTAATAGACGATGGCAAACAGAGCAAGAATCCCTCCGTTCCCTGAGGACCCGATTGCAGCTATTCAAGCTCTGGATGTCATTTGGTCTGGCCGGAGAATGCCCTCTGTGACAGCTGCACTATCTCCATAATGTTCCTGGAAAATGCCATAGCTTTGGATATAACCTTGTGTTTGTCAACTCCCCGATGTGCATATTTTAGGTATCTAAATATCTACCGATGACGCAAAAGCTCGCAAGGACTGCAGCGACCAAGATCCGAGTCTGCTGCTGATAGGTGACCTTTTCGCCTTCGTTGTCTTGTACAAGCACTTCGATATCTGCGCCGCTGTTCTGGAACGTGGAGCTTCTAGAAGGCGGGTCCAGAACCTTCGGACCATTCTCCACCAACGCTGAATCTCGACGTTCCTTGGCAGTCAGTGACTTGCCTGACAGGGGTTCAAGACATCAGTTAGCTTCCAGACCTCTAGCGAGCCCACTTCTAACTTACTCATCTCATTCCTAGTCATAAAATCTTCTGCAGAACGTACCTCTGGCTAGGAATGATGGTTGCTGTGAGCTGGAAAGGCCCGTGTAAGGGATATTGGCGAAAGATGTTGATGAGAGCCTAGTCCTTCGATTTATTGAAAAGCATAAGCTGGTGACGTACCTAGCGATTAGGGAATTTGCAATAACCATATCATAGTGCCTTGAACCAACAACACTATTGTGAGACGAATAACGAATGACACCTTTTGGAATTGGGGAATGAAGCCCCACCGGGGTGATAATCGCCCCCACCTCCATCAGGGCTCCGACAAGAGAAGACATGGGAGCATGTTTGTAGTCGTGGAGATCGCCAAATAGTCGATAGACCTTTGAGAGCGATTCTGCCTTCATTACTAATGATATGCTCGGGTACGGTAGGTGACGAAATCTAGAGCTAGATGAGGCCCTATTAATATTCTACCATGGTACAGCAGGGAAATACCTTCGGTTGCTATCTGGGCAACAATTTCTAGAGGTCGGCGCTACAATTACGACTCCTAAAAGTCAAGCGCTTTCTCAACCCTCTACCGTGAGCTATGAACAGAAGAAGTATATCCTTATATATCCTTATTTCTGAGGAATGTCTCGCTCATGGGGTGAGAGAAGATATGACAGTGTTAATCTTATGAATTATAGCTGCGATCAAATATACGCACTCAGCTCTAGTATTTATCCCTTTCGAGAGCCTGTTCCTTACGTGCCGGGTAGGTGAGGATATGATGACCTTCACTTGGCGAATGGTGGTTGTTGGGATTGGTTTACCATTCGTCCAATCAGCGCAAGCTCGGCTAGACATCGGCTTTTAATACGGCAACTTTTTGATGGCAGTGGCACTGGAAAGTATCCCCAACAAACTCCATCCATTGATCACTATCACGACAGCCTACCACAATTTTCGTAGGCTCACCTCCCCTGGCACTCTCTTGAGCGCCACGTGATTCCGTATGTATGCCGTAATACGGCCGGCACTGCGGTCAGCGTCTCAAGCCAGACCTCCAGCAAGATATATCCAAGGGCGCCGATACCCTCAGTCAATTCGATTACGACTCTTCCATTCCTCTCTCTACCTCGCAAACACCTCGAATCCTCCACCGGGCCCTGAGAACCCCCCGGTCGACGAAAATGACGCGGATAAGAAGAGCCCGGAGAAGACGGCAAAGGCAGAGCAACCGGAGGCCGGAGTAGCAACGGAGGATCCGGAGGTGCTGGCACAGAAGTTGCAGCGCTCAAGGGAAATGACACGGCGATATTCCTCTGCGCTTAGACGGTCACAGCGGCGGAATCGTGCCCAAGATCTCCCGCCAGTTCACATTCCCCAATGGTTTTTGGATTATAGAGTTGCACTGCGCGAAGAAGCGGACTCGGCGCCAACCTATGCCACAAGCAAAAAAATCTGCTCTATATCGATAAAGAACAAAGATACGGGCGAGCTAGGCACATGCTCACTACCTTTTTTTGGCGATGGAAGAGACGTCCGGTGCGTGTTAGAGTTGGTCCGGGCCATGCACGGAACGACTATGAGCACCAACCACTTCAATGAACTGCAGGAAGAGTTTATTCGCAGGATTGGTATGACACCTACTCTTCTCTCTCCCAAAACCGAGGGTCCCAGGGATTTAGCTCAGACGGATATTCGATCAGTTGGAAATAAGCAGGATCGCGCAAGCCTGTTAACCTTAGACAAGGCATCAGGGCCTAAGACGAGTTGGGATGAGTGGAAGGCTTCAAGACCGAACCTCGAAAAGCTAGAAAGTTTGCCCGAAGACGGTCACCAGACCCAGGTTGGAGAAATGGAAACATTTGAGAAATTTATCTCGCCTTTGGTCCTCTTCGAGGCCCGCGCTACAGTTGCAGCATGCCTTTCTGCTACACAGCCGGCATTTAACGATTCTTTCCCATCTTCAAAAACCAATATAATACTCCACGCCCCCTCAAGTCGGCACGGAAAGCTTCTGAAGGACTTGGTTCTATCAGCAGCCGCTGAGTTGGATGCAGATGTTGTATCACTTGATGCTCAAGATCTAGCACAACTCGCAGGAGACTATCTTGGGGAAGGATCGGAGCCTTCCCCGCACTCAGTACGTTCACTGGGCTACGAAACGTACAAATCCACCTCGGAACTTGGGAGCGACCTTGAAGAGTTGGGAAGAGACGATGGGGTTGAGGACGAAGCAGGAGAAGAGTCTCCTCGGCCTGAATTTGCACGCCCATTCGGCCTTCCAGGGCTAGGGTTCGGCCCTCAACCGAACGTTCCCGGGGGTGCGCGGGTAAACTTCATCGGGGCAATTCCTCTAGGGGTGTTTAGAGGCTTAAGAGATCTTACACAAAGCATAAAGAGCCTGCAGTCAAACTCTGGAGGAGAGGGGGAAGGAGAAAGTAATACTGGTTCCACCCCAAACGGTCGGATACAATCGCAAAGCGAGATCCAACTGGAAGATCTAAAATTGTTAACCCTGCTTGAAGTTTTAGTGGACTCCACTGATCTCAAGCGAGCGCGAGTTCCATTTCCCGCGCACACTCGCACCAAGGAGGCTGCTCGCGCGACTGCGGACGAAGCCGCTGAAGAGCCCAAGTTCTTTGACTTTTCCATAAATCCGAACGGTGAGCTCGATTTCAGCTCCGTATTACCCGAGTCGGCAAGACTATCCAATACATTTACGATACGGGTTGGCCCATCACAACAACCCTCTTGGACTCCCCTAAGAGCGAAAATTATCTACATCTCTGATATCAAAGAATTGCAGGCTACATATTATGGTAGTCGAATCATTCAGAAACTTGAGGACATTGTTCGAAAGCAAAGGTCTGCGGGCGAAAACGTCATGATTATTGGCACCACGTCGTCTTCCGATCTGGTACCCGAAATGTCCGCCAGTGGAGTGCAGAGTCTGCAATCCGAAGGTGACGCTGGCTTGTACAGGACTATCGTAGTGCCATTCGTGTCAACAAAGAAGCCATTAAGACAAGAGGATTCCTTAGACGCGGATAAATCTTTATCTGAAGCGAAGCCTCTTCATCCCGAGGAATTCACGTTTGACATCAAGTCTGCTGCAAGAGCACGAGTTTTGAAGGAGGGCTCCTCTGAAACTCTCAGATTTCATCAAATCAATCTTCGACACATTGAGGACATGTTACGTTCCCTAGATCCCAAGGCATCTGAGAAAATCACGGATTTTAAAGCAGGTAGGGAGCAAGCTCGAAGATTTGGTCCTATCTACCCGGAATCCTGTTCCTGGAAAGTTTTATCATATGATGAGGTCCACCGCATCGCAGTAACTGCACTCGGACTCTTTCGCTTGGATAGCGCTTCTCCATCCTTGACCTGGGCTCATGTTGCCTTGTCAATGGGCCTGCTAGAGGCTAGTGATGAGGTAAAATTTGCCTATGTCACGCTCAAAGCTGCCAAACAGCGGTCAAGGCTAGGAACCCAGCTTAGGAGATCCGTAGATAGACTAAGAGAAGAGATGGGAGTTCCACCGAGACGACGGGTTTCGCAGTCTGATTTTTTGGCACAAGAGGGACGACCCGGTCAGCCACAGCTAGATCTGGAACGCATCGCTTTGACTGCTACCAAGCATGAGAAGAGACTGATGCATGGCATTGTAAACCCAGACCAAATCAAGACCACATTCGACCATGTACATGTTCCGAAGGACACTGTTGAGGCTATTAGAACACTGACATCACTGTCTCTTCTTCGTCCGGATGCGTTCAACTACGGGGTGCTTGCTACCGATAAGATTTCCGGCGTTCTCCTTTACGGGCCTCCAGGGACCGGAAAGACGTTGCTTGCAAAGGCAGTAGCGAAAGAAAGCGGATCATCGGTTCTAGAGGTGTCAGGGAGCGAGATCAACGACAAGTATGTCGGGGAAGGAGAGAAGAACGTCCGAGCTATCTTCACCTTGGCGCAAAAGCTGTCGCCGTGTATTGTTTTCTTAGATGAGGCGGACGCTATTTTCGGGGCTCGTGATGGGTCACGGCAGCGCGTCTCTCATCGGGATATTTTGAACCAATTCCTAAAAGAGTGGGATGGTCTGAACGATGCTTCGGTTTTCGTTATGGTCGCGTCTAATCGGCCGTTTGATCTGGATGATGCGGTGATACGACGCCTGCCGAGGCGTTTACTGGTTGATTTGCCCACTCAAGAGGATCGACAGAAGATTTTGCAGATCCATCTTAGGGGCGAGCAATTGCATGAATCTGTGGACCTAGTGGATCTTGCCAAGCGCACGCCGCTGTATAGTGGGAGCGACTTGAAAAACGTTGCGGTTTCAGCGGCATTGGCGTGTGTGAGGGAGGAGAATGAACAGGCGGCAGTTGCGGCGGCGAAAGCAGCTGTTGAGGCGGGGCGGTCTGACTCTAGTACGGAATCCTCCAGGCCGGACTCTTCACCCACAGTCTCAGAGTCGCAGTCCCACACCCAATATCCACCATCTCTTGTCTTCGGTCGCAAATACGAATTTCCAGAAAAGCGCATACTCCATAGCCGACATTTCGACAAAGCGTTGCAAGAGATAAGTGCCAGTATCTCAGAAGATATGTCTTCGTTGAACGCGATCAAGAAGTTCGATGAACAATATGGGGATCGCAAGGGTAGGAGAAAGAAAAACGCCTACGGGTTTGGAGTTGGCTCGGATAAGAATGAGGCTGCTGCTAGGGTGCGACATTGAGGAAACCCGAGGGTCGAGAGTGTTAACGGTCACGAGCTGTCAATCGAGGGCAAGTATTGCGCATATTGTATCATAGTATGAAATGAATGTATTGGGCATCTTGGATTGCACGATGCAACGGTAGACGGTAGAGGGGTCTACCGTCTCTTCGGAGGTACTGTAGAATTCAAATTCAATTCGCTTCTGTCTTTTGTGTTAAGGATGTCGAGTCAATTTGTCCTGGTTCCACTATTTCGTCTTCTCATTCCCCACTTTCCCCATTCCCCCCCTCTTCTCCGCCCTAATCCTCATATCTCTCAAAAACAACACCAAGGAACATCTCAAAATCCTTATCGCGGCCCGATTCCTCCAATCCTCTAACCCAAACCCCTTCCCATCCCTATTCCCAACCCGCAAAACCTTCCTCCCCCAGAATTCCGAGCACGAACTGCACAATCCCAGTCCCATACAACACTCTTCTCCCAAGATCGTTTGCTGCCCTACAGTCCAGCGAAATACGCGTATGTAACATGAGCGCATAGTGGAATGTGTTCAACAGCGTGAAGACTTTCCAACCTGTAGAACTGGGGTGAGATGGGAGAACGCGGATGTAGGAATAGTAAGGTGTAGTAAGGTGGTAGAAAGCGAAGTGGATATCGATGGGTTGGGAATGCCCTATCTTCGGGTTGGAAGAGGGACGGGAGGAACCAAAATGACGAGTGGGATATCGATATATTCATAGAATTTCGAAAGGTGGTATGGGAGGCGGAGGGTTTGTTTGGTTAGAAGAGGGAGAGAGAGAGAGAGAACCAGGGTTGCGCAGTGGAGATAAGGGTTAGGAGATATAGAGTGCGGAATAGGGAGTAGAGGCATGAATTTAGGGCTATAAACGTTCGGGCTATTGAGGGGAGAGGGTGTGTGAGGGTGTATTTGTGGGCTAGGAAGGGGCTGTGGTGAAGATGAGTGTGGATGTTAGAACGACTGAGAGAGTTGTGAGGGGGTGGGGAGCGGCATTGCTGGGGCAGACACGTCTTGAGAGGTGTATTAAGTAGTGATATTGGATAAAGGGGAATGCTCCATGATCGATAGGTAGACTATTTGTGAGTTAAACACATCTTATTACATGCAAACCAGATTGCTGTGCGTCATGAGTCGTCATGTACAGGAAAGCTATACTAAGAGTAGTCGTCGTCGGTATTCTCATATTTAAAGTCCCTTACAACTACCCCCAAAAAGCAATGTGTGCGGTCGCGGAGTCATCCTGAAGCTGCAAAGAGTGTGTTAAACAAGCAGATTATCCTTCCTTTCCAGGAAGAAAGTGGCTAGTCCTAATTAGGAAGGATAACAGGCTTTGCTTAGAAAGTCTTAGCAGCGCTAATTATATTTAAAGGGAAAAACTACGCAGTAGAAGTAATTTTAACACCCCTAACTATGTTGTCTTTAATTATAATAGGGAAAAAAGAAGGCTAGATTAAGTATGTAGTAAAGTAGAATAATTACTTAAAGCTTAAAAACATAGAATAACAAAGCTTTTTAGTTATTTAATTTTCTACTAATTAGATTAATAACTAGCTTATATCCAGACTAATAGGAGAGAGGGCTTGGCGGTAGAGATAGTGTAATATTTGATGATGTAATATTTGATGATGTGATGCCTGAATTGCCAAGGCGCTGAGCTCTTGCCCAAGCATTCACCCCTCCAGGTCCACACCCGCTTAAATCTCCAACTTCCATTTGAGCACGGAATTCAGCGAAATTCCAAATTTCTATCCAAATTATGGATAAACTGCCAGCCGATCTCTTACCAGTTGTGATGGAGCAACTCGTGCTTCTCCATTTAGAACATGCACGAAGAGCATGTGGGACGTTGCGGACGCTACTTGATTTGCGTTTAGTATGCCGTAAGCTAGCTAGCAATACCTGCTTCAAAACCCAAAATTTAACTTAAGGACTTACATCAAATAGGATCATTTTCCAGAGAGCTCCTCCGCCCTCTAAACCAGCATATAACGCTTCCCAACCTCGCATTCCACAACCGAGTCTTCCGACAGCAAAAACAACCCTTAACAAGCATAACGCACATCCGCAACCAGATTATTACTTCTGCTCTCTTCAACTCCACCAGAAGCATCCACAAACGACACCTCTGCACCACAATCACTAAATGTCTCCAACAATATACTCAAGTCGCGGAAGATATCGCTAAAGATAACTCATGTGGGCAAACTACGCAGCAACTAACCAAAACTCTCAGCAGAGCAACCGTGTACTCTGGCGTCTGCATGGCGTTTCTATTCAACACCTACGAGATCCGCACCAACGAATCCGACATTTACTGCATCGCCACCATGCTCAATCTCAAAGACTTCCTCATCGCAAAATCGCTCCAAGAGCACACAAAAGACCTACACTTACACCGTAGCACTCTTTTCGGTGATGCGATATCCTGCGCCGTGCTCTGCGGCCACGCAGACGTGGTTCAACATCTCGCGGACCCGAAGTCGTGGCCGCATAGCCCGTTAAAGGATTCTAATGCGGTTGAGCTCGCTATCGAGCTCGGTAATGTGGACATCTTGAACGTGCTGCTTGGACTGGGGAAGAAAGCCGGGGGTGTTAAGAAACATGGCATGAAGTACGAAAAACACATTTTCCGTGCCGTGTTGGGCGGGAATGTGGAGGTTGTGAAGATATTCTTTAATGCTATTGACCCGAGGGACTTTAAGTCAGTAGAGTATTACAAGAGCGAAGTTTTAAGGCTTAGACAGCAGAGTTTTATCCATGCGGTGTGGTTCGCGCAGACGGATGTGGTGAGACTGTTTGTGGGGAAGGGGGTTGAGATTGATAGAGCGGACGCGGTCGGGAGGACTGCGATGAGAATTGCGCGGGAGAAGGGATTCACGACTATTTTGAGAGTATTGGTGGAAGCTGGGGCGACTGTGGACGAGGGAGATATGAGATTGTATTCTGGAACTGTTACAGTTACTAAGGGAAAGGGTAAAAAAAAGGCAGGATCTAAATTTTGGAGATGGAAAAAGGTGACAGAAAGTGATCCTGAGCCTTTGCGTGTTGATAAGAGGGGGTACGAATATTACATATAGACCCCTACAAAAACAGCAAAGCAACATAGCAACGCGCTAGCTGTAGATGTCACTTTCTTGATTAACATTTCCTGAGCTGTCTTAAAGATTAGGCAAACTCCAACTCTTGAATCATTCTGCAAAACCACCTTGCATAGGCCACTACCATAAGCGCGCAAGCAAATGTGGGATACTTGACGAAGGGGTAAGACGGACATGATTAAACGCGGCAACTTAGACTTTCCGTCATTATTACATAAGTAGAAGAGTGCTCCAGGACTCCTCCGAATATCCATCTGCACATCTAACCCATGCTCCAGTTCAAGCCCCATCTCAACCTAACGCCGGAGGAAGCATGGGATATGCGCTTTAGTCCTTAGAGTTCACTCAATATACTCTCACGACCCAGGGATGACTGTTCGATGATCAAAATCCATGATTCATCCCAAGCGACCTCAATCACTCCTCAGCATACTCTCCACCAGATCACCCAGCGGGCCCCAGAAATCCTTGCTTCCGCTCGCCAGCCCATGCTCATCAATGAACAGAACATAGTGCTTGAAGCTCGTATTCAGATGCGGCTCGAGGCCCAGCTCAATAACGACGGGGTAGTGGTGGCAGTAGATGTGGGCGTAAACACGATAGAGGCGCTTAAACATATTGCGAAGCAGAGCGGGAAAGGTCTTGGGGAATGGGACGCCGATCCTGCTTGGGAACATCTGCTCGTTGTCTATGTTGCTCTGTACCCAGGCCATCAGGTGCTCGATGTATTCTGGTGCAGGCATTTTGGTGGGTTTCTTAAAGTTCTCAGTGTCTTGCCAGAGGTATTCAAACCTACATAGGGTCAGTGAGATGACATAGATTAAGGTTAAAGGTTTCCTACTCGTCTGTTGCCTTCATCTCGGGACAGCTCTGCGGAGAGCAGAATTCGGTGATGGAGCCGTAGAGGAGGTTTATTTGATTGTAGAAGTCGACGACTGAATAAGATAGGTTAGCGAATGCGCAGCAGCCGTGATTGTGCTATTCACTGTTGACCGCCAGCCACTCGTCCTTATCCTCTCCCTCTGGTAACTTCACCGCCTTCCTCAAACTTCCACTCCCCAGTGTCGCCTCCGCATATTGCTTAAGTTGCCAGCTGCTGGTCCCTCGATTGGCCTTCTGTGGTTTGAAAGGTGCTCGCGTGCGCGGATTGCTAGAGAACAAGGAAGAAAGTAAGCCTGTGCCTGCAAAATAGCCATTTTTGGGGCGTGATGGGAATGATAGCCCTGGATGAGGGCGATGGAGACAGTGCCATCTCCTCTCATGTCTTCGAACCTTCGCTAAGAGCTTCCGCCTCAGTATCTTGTTATCGCAGTGTGTGGTGAAGTCGTCTTGGTTGAAGGAAGGAGCTTGTAGTAGTAGTTGGGATATTCATGAGCAAGGGTCGTTCGCCGGCCTGCAAGTAAGGACGAGACGACACCGAGCCTACTTGCATTGTCCGCAACGCCTCCCCAGTCACCTAGAGCGCGCTCTTGTACGCCAACTGTGATATCGTAGGCGCTAAAGCTTCAGATCAGGCTACCCGCTTCCCAGCCTATATTTCCTTGTCGAATCCAAGCTCTGTGCGGTCAATTGTGTCCATCTTGAGACCCATGCAGCTCTAGCTCTAGGCGAAGGTGAAGATCAACTGGAGGGGCTCCGGTTTGGCTGGGAAGGCCGGGAAAAGAGGAAGGCAGAAGTGGAAACAAACATTGTGGTTATGAATCCTGACATCCTCCACAGCTTCTCCGCCTTGACTATATGGGTGGAGGGTGTGTCTGTGTCTATTCAAACAGTTAGCAGGGTGATTGAAGCCCCAAGACTAGAATGTAAAAACTTACGGACTACGCCGGTTGCCAAATGCTGATAACGGAAAAGAGCGACTGATTTGAAGCAAGAAAAAAGAGGCAAAAGAGTAAGATTGGCAGTCTTGGGTTGGTGATGCTGGTTCTGCGGTTGTTTGTTGGCCCCGCATAAACAAAGTCCCGCCACAGTATGACTAATCTCAAAGCCACCAATTCACGTGAGACCTACCCCTTGAGGCAGATAATTAACAAATTCCATGATCACGCACTAATATTCAGATAATTCTGAGGATATGAACCCCAGAACCCCAAGTTCCGCTGTTGCGCCACAAGATCTAATAGAAGGATTCTAATAAAAAACAGATATATAATTTTTTTAATGCTAATGACTTATTGTCCGTGCGTTCATTCTTCCCACACGGATTCGTAAATATCTAGCCTTTGTTCTAGCCTTGGTCTAGGTACTGCATTCGATTCTAGCTAGCCTACCACTCCAGTAAGAGGCTAGTCGAGACTAAATCAAGAGAGACTAGGCATAATACAATGATTAATCTATTCATGACTTGACTAGTACAAAGATAAAATTCATTCCTCCAGGCATGGTGCGAGAATGGTTGAGGTAAGCGTTTCGGGGAGTAATAGGACTTGTGATTCTGCCCCTAGGTCAATTCTGGGTCTATAAATTCTCGAGCCCCGTTTGATGCATGTCAACTTTTCTGGTGCGTGGAGCTTTTTGCAATGTTTGCTATCCCTTCTCCTCAATACCCCCCTATTAATCCCCTCAACAACGCTATGACAGGTCCTCCAACTTATTTGCCATCCAGTGGATTTTTGGTGAAATAGTTGTTATGGCCATTCAGATCACCACTAGGCTTCGGATCGAATGCTCCATCAATTGACGTCTCGAACTCTCCGCAGTCGACATCGGCCGAATCGTTGCTCTTTATCCGCTCAAGTTGATCGCTGACATAGTGTGCAACATGTTTATCGACCTCGGCCTTTCGTTTGATGGAATCAGCGTCGAGGAATCCAATAGAACTCTTGCGGTTGATAGGGGAGGCAGTATCTTCGTCGCCATTAGTTGAGGTTTCCCAGTCGCTGCGGTGGCCAATGGATCTGCTTGTTGAAGATCGACGAAGGTGATGTGGCTTCCTGGGTTTTCCAGTGCTAGTGAAGATGTCGTCGAAGTAGTGGGCAGCCGCGGTGGTTGGCGTACGTGGTGTTTGTGGGAGTCGACAAGTCATGCTAGCACTTTATGAGTACTTTACAACTGAATGGCAGGATTCGACTTACCCTGTGTCATGGATCATCTTAGCAATCAAGCCAGTCCACCCACATTGATGAGTTGCTCCCAACCCACGGCCAGTATCTCCATCGAAAAATTCATGGTACCACATGTAGTCCTTCCAGTGCACATCAAAATCCAGCATTTCATTTCCGTCATTGATAGCTCTTCGTCCATCGTCGCCTCGGGCGAAAAGGTGCTGAAGACGATGTTGGACTTCTTCGGCAACGTGTCCGAGATGCATGTAGTCGCCTGAGCCAGTGGGACATTCTACTTGGAACTTGTTGCCGTAGTATAGGAAGAATCGCTGGAGAGACTCGATGAGAAGGAAATTGACAGCGAGCCAAATTGGCCCACGCCAGTTGCTGTTGCCGCCGAAAAGCCCACTGTCAGAGTCCCCGGGAATATAACTGACTTGAAAGCGCTGGCCATTAACATCCATAGAGTATGGGTTGCTTTTGTGGTATTTCGACAGAGATCGGATTCCGTGGTCAGCCAGGAATTCTGATTCGTCTAGCATCCTGCAGAGGATCCGTCTCAAGCGGTCCTCACTAACTAGAGATAAGAGAACACGATCGTCTTTGCCGCGTTTCTTCATCGAAGCCATATTCCGTTTGGCGACGTCGCTGCGGTTGGCGGTGAACCAATCTAATCTCTTTTTGAAGTCGGGAAATCGGTTGATGACTTCGGGCTCTAATGTCAAAGTCGCATAGAGAGGGATGAGGCCGACGAGGGATCGAACTGGCATTTGGTGACTCCATGGTCCCCCCCAGGAGATGGCATCATAGTAGAATCCATCCTCTTCGTTCCAAAGTGGTTTCTCTTCTCCGTCCATCCGGAACTGCATTGCGTCACTGATGAGGATGAAGTGCTCAAAAAACTTTGACGCCATGTCTTCATATATACGGCGACGTTTGGCGAGTTCGAGACAGATATTAAGCATGTTAAGACAGTAGAAGCCCATCCAGCCGGTGCTGTCGGCCTGTTCAAGAACACCTCCCGTCGGCAAAGGCTCTGATCGATTGAAGACGCCAATATTGTCGAGGCCTAGGAACCCGCCTTCAAAGACATTGTGGCCATCCGCATCCTTTCGATTCACCCACCATGTGAAGTTGAGGAGCAGTTTTTGGAACACGCGCTCAAGGAAGTCAAAATCCTCACGACCGTACATCTTGCGCTCAATCTTGAAAACCCTGAAGAGTGACCAAGCATGGACTGGAGGGTTCACATCGCCAAAGTTCCATTCGTAAGCTGGAAGCTGGCCATTTGGATGCATGTACCATTCGCGAGTGAAGAGGTCTAGTTGTTTCTTGGCAAAATCAGGGTCGATCATGGCCAAAGGTATGCAATGAAAAGCGCTGTCCCACGCGGCGAAGAAGGGGTATTCCCAAGAATCAGGCATGGAGAGAATATCGTCTAGGTACATGTGTTTCCACTCCTTGTTCCGAACCTGCTTTCGGCTGGCTGGTGGAGGGGGCATGCCCGGATCGCCGTTTGCCCATTGGTTCCAGATGAAATGGTAGTATTGTTTGCACCACAACATTCCAGAGAAGGCTTGGCGTTGGATATTTCGGAGATCCTCAGCCATCGGAAGCGGGCTAATTCGCCAGTAGAACTCGTCGGCCTCGGCGCGTCGTTGCTCGATGATGTCGTCGAAAAGCTCTTCGTCGAGGTATCCTTCATACCTCCGTGAATACCTAAATCGCACGACGGCACACTCTCCAGGCTGAACGCCTTCATCTTCGTCAAAAGCGTACCAGGCCGCGCACTTGGTGCCGAACTCCCTCGGATTTACGGAATTCATTTGCTCGTCTACGATACGGCGGTGAATGCCATCTTTGACATACTGGTGTTTGTTCTCACCGCCCCAGATTGCCTTGTAATTCGTCTCGTTTTCTGTGAAAAGAAGTTTGGGCTGAACGTCCTCACCGCTCGAGCCAGTGCCTGGAGAGGGTGAGAGCTGAAAGTAGCGCTCTCCAAGCTTATAGTGCTTTGAATGTGCCGTAGTTGGACTAATTTTCCGTAATGAAGGCTTCTTCTTGAGATCTTCGTGGCCCCAGGCCCAGGTATTACGGAACCATACGTGAGGGACGATGTGCAGCGGCGCTGGCTCCGGGCCGCGGTTATATGCGGTAACACGAAACAAAAGCTCTTCCGCATCGTCAGCTTCCTTTGCAGTCTCAATGAAGATATCCCAGTATCGATCATCCTCGAAGACTCCAGTATCAATAAGGTTGTATTCCTTTTCCAGTCGGCTTCGATTAGCGTTCTCTTTAATGAGGTCCTCGTAGGGGAATTTGCGCTGCGGATACTTGTAGAGGTACTTCATGTAGGAATGCTGTGGGGGAAGTCAGCCAGGTAAGCACAGGGCTCTGCCAACGCTTACCGTAGGCGTGTTGTCCAGATGGAAGTGGCATTCTTTGATCGACTCTCCATGGTTGCCCTGAGGATTTGACAGGCCGAACAACCTCTCCTTCAGGAAATCGCTGCGAAGTTATAAGCAATGATGAGTTTTGGTAGGGGAATTCGTATCGGCGCACTCTTTCTCATTCCAGAAAGCAAAGGCAATGTTCTGGAGGCCATGCGAGTCGGAAACGCCCGCAATGCCATCTTCGCCCCACCGGAAGGCGCGCGTTCGGGCCATGTCATGTGTAAAGTCTCACCTTCTATTAGTCAAGGCTAATTGTATTCAAGAAGGCACTTACGGCTCCATGCATCTCCATCGTGGCTGCGATAGTCAGCAGAGTTAACACACAGATTGTGGTTGACTTACGAGTAGTCTTCGCGAACTACCCAGGCGTTAGATTACATCGAGCGATGCAGAGCAACGGGAACTAACCAGTTGCCCACTGCCTCTCGGCAACGTAGGGTCCCCATCGCTTCCAGTAAGCAGTGCGCTCTCGGTCTTGCTTGAGGCGCTTTTCCTCTTCGCAGAGGTACTCTTGATTCTCAATGAGAACCATGTCGAACGCTCAGCCGCCGGAATATACAGTCAACAAAGAGCGGTCGAGTTTGGTCTGAAAGTTGGCGAAGCGGTGTTGAGGTGAAGAAACAGGTAAATGACAGTCAAAGGTAATCAGACAGCCAAGAAGGGAAAGGCAGAATGAATGGATAAGCTTAGGGATGTCGACTGATTGTTTCTGGTGGTGAGAGGCACGAATTGGAATGATTGGAATGAGAGGAAGACGGGGGAGCGAGGCAAGCAGCGGGAAGTTCTGATGGCGGCGCGCAGCTTGGCTGTGATGCATGCAGGAACTCACGATGGATGTCATACGGTCCGTGCTTGCCTTATCGGTGCTCTCAACCGATCAGACCTTGATCGGTGCGTTACTCGCCCAGTTTCAACTCTCACCCCCGGCCCGATTGCGGCTGCGCCTTGGCAGACCGCCAACCAGCGTCGAGCAAAACGTCTTGGGTCGCAATAGAGAATTTTTCACTCGCTAAACTCAACAAAATTTCTAGAGCTTGATAGGTGCATCAGTCTCGAGCCAGGACGCCTTGGTATTTGGTGAGAGCTCTACTTGAAATTTGCTAGCTTCTCTTTCCGCAGCTAGTTGCCAGCACACCCCGATCTCTACTCACATGTAACGGTTCATACCATGGCATCGGCGATCTCAGCCGCAAAAATGAAACACTGGGTTGAAGGGACTCTTTCCTGGGAAGGGTAGTGTATTCTGGCACTTCTGACGGAGGGCTGGATCAGGACATAAGCCTACATTCTCTCTAAACACACTCTCCTATCCGCACAACAAGTCTCCAGTCTAAATCTCGCACAATCTCTTTCCACTCCTGTTAATTCCCCCGTTTGTGCCAGCAGAGCTCTCCCATCACGGAAGGGCGTTCTCACAAATACGCATATAATCGAAATGGGAAAGTTTGAATTGCGGTACGTAGCCGAAAGCCCATTAATTCCTCCCCCTCCACATTCTCAACAGTCCCTCTGTCAGGGCTTCGTATAGTTATACGCCAAAGGGCAGGTAAATCCGAATAGAAGCTAAACTTGTCCCTCCCATTGAGTTCATTTTACACCGCCACATCTTGATACATGAGCTTCCCATTATCCTACCCTCACTTGTACACCTCGTCCCACCAGTCCGTCGTCCCCGAGACTACCCTAGCCTTATACGAATCCGGATCTTTGTTGAGATGAGCGTGCACGCACTCGCTGTCTCCGTCCATCTGGGCGTTGAGCTTGCCGTTCCACTTTGGGGTCGCCCAGGTGACTTTTAGGTCCCTGATCCCTTACCATTAGCTGCGACCCCAGCGTAAGGGCTTTTGACCAGTGCATTCTTGGGCTCCGTGTAGGTATATTCTGATGCTCAAGTATGACAAGTTGTAGGTAGGGGGGCATTAGCATTTCATCAGTTACATCGTATGGTTTTCCTTTCGGCTTTGACTGGCCGCCAGGAAGCTGAGAAGAGGAAGGATGATGAAATATTTGAAAGCCATGATAATAGCTTTGGCCACACCGATGGATGCGCAGGTATGTGAACAAGCTTCTCGCGTATATTGACGGTTCAAACAACCTTCCCGGTGTCAGAGAAGAATATGGACCCAGACGAATGGAGTGGCAGTGAATATCAACTAGCGTCTACGTACCGGGGAGTTCACGTTTTATCTGGTTGAGCAGTTTGGACCAGGCCTTCCAGGCCGCGTGGTTTTGATGTAAGTCAGTGGACGGCTGAAGCACAATCTGATACCTTTCTCTTAGAAAAGGTGACCCTATTTACTCTTTCAAGCATATTGGTCTTATATTTCATAAGCTTATCCTTCCACCGCAGTGCAACATGAAGGTGCGGACGGCTGCACTACTCCATTCGGCACCTATTTCGGCGCCTTCTCTCACCACTCCCCTGTCTTCGAATTCCCCGATGGGCGACGATACGTTTGCTGTTGACTAGACATAGGTGCCCCAGCAGGTGGCAAATTTCTGTCAGTACGTAGTGAATCCATTTAGAAATGTTCTTTGCCCATCATCAAAGCGAACTTCGAGAATCTTTTCAATGACCCCACCATGTCCCACAAAACTCCTGCGAACAACCCGCTTTTTTTTGGGTACTAGTGCTCCCCTACCCCTGAGTGATTCCTGCTTGAGGTGTTAAAATAGCTCGGGAGCTGACTGATTGGCTGCATCCTTGGTGGTAAATATGGCGTGGACGCTGGAATCCAGTTCCGGAATGAGCTCTGGCCTCGACCCGCCACGAGAATCTCCCCTCAAGTATGGGTCTGGAGCGATTTTAAAGACGGTATATGTGGACCTCGGTCCACTGTGGCCGCACCGTGTAGGAAGGAAGCAATAGCAAGGTTCTGTTCACAACAGATCTGAAGCTCCATTGTGTTTCCATCAGGCAACGGAACACGCAAAGGTTCGTCACCTCCAAAGTAGGAGCTTTTGAGGAGATCTTCAATCGGCCCTTTCCTAGGCTCACTTTCTTCTTTAGCCAGCCGGTTGCGGATCTGCGCAATGATCGTGTCGAGGGGACAAAACGGCCCTGAGATCGGTGCATACTTAATATGAGGCAGGCGAACCGAGGACGAAGGTTTCTTGTGCTTCTTTCTGGGGGCCAGCAAGAATGACTTGGGTCATATATACAGGGGAAGGATAGCGGAAAAGGATTTGCCGGTAAGATGGGGCTTGTTTGATGGTGTGGTCCGCGGAGAGGGGAGGAGGGAAGAGACAGATTACACAGCACATCCACGCCGGGCAGTGCATTGGGTATTGGAAGACGGCAGAAAGAGCACCACGCATTACCACAGGCAATAGCAAGTAGCAAGAACGCCTAAGTATAGTAGAGGAAAAGGAATATTGAATGACTCGTGCCTGATTTGAAGGGGTGACTTTATGATATCCTAGTCCGGAATCTAGCGCACTACCATTCCGCCAATGGGCTATTCTTGAATTGAGATTAGATGTATATTGTTTAAATGAAGTAGGTCAATTAAAGTGTTACAGATCTGGTTTCTCCATTCTCCTGATTCTCCCTCTTCCTGGGACTCTCATCTTGGTAATTTTCTCGAACATGGCTTAGGTAACGGGGAAAATCACCGTGAAAACGACTGGCAGCGAGGGCAATGATCAGAGCCTTAATTCTGACGGCTGAGTATATCATATGACGAGATCTATCGTTCCTCATCGCCCTTCCACCTGGACGGGCTCTGTTCAGAACATTGAAAAAGTAGACGTTTAACCAGAGCAGCTATTGGAAGGCTTTATTAGACTTAGGCGATTAAGCAACCATGCGATGGTGATGTTTATACTCCCTGTTCATGGAGTAGGCTTTTGTAGATAAATTAAATAGGGTATTTTAGTTGCCTTCGATCTGTAGTGAGTTCAGTCTACCTTTTGTAGTATTAGCAGGGGATGTAAAAGAATCTGTTTATTATCCGCCGGCGCTCAATATCTCGACATCTAGTAACAAGCTACTATACGGCAATTCAATCCATACCGCTTCAACCGGTTGGTCAGGTGAACAACACGCCCGTAGAGACTCAGTCAAAGACTCAAGGCAGAGATTGGAGGACCTTGGCCAGGAGACGGCGGGCAGAGGATTGCTGACGAAGGGAGAGTGAATGATCGCTTCATTGCCTAAGGGGGAGTGCCAGAATGTATAGTTAATGATCAAGCTTATCACATGCTAAATGCTAAACGTATGAATGTAGAAAAACTAGATAGCTGAGGGCTATGACCCTATCCCTACATTCCAACAGAAACATGATTTGCTGCCGTAGAGTTGACTCCAGGATTGAGCATCAATACAGTAAGGACCATTGCACCGACAAAATGCCCCACGGCGTGTATGAACCGTTCATGCTGAAATAAAGCCTAGAGTGAGTATTGAAGAGTAGACGTAGGAATGATGGAAGCTTACGTGCTGGCGAGAAGCCGAAAACCCGACAGTTACATGGATTTCGCATGCCCAGTTAACTCAGCTAGCCTGATAACGCTTCAGATCTAACAGAAATGTTGGCAGACAAGGGGCGAAGGGACGCGACTGAATGAAGATCTCGGCCCGCGATTCGGCGAGCCCTTGTGCGCCAAGCCTCTACAGCTGATTAGTCCTAATGTCGTCACAGAAGCTCCAACAACCTTCATGCTTCAGCGTAGACCTTGCCATTCCTATGCACTTCTTTTTGCTTCATGATTTACTGGACTGAATCCCTACTCCATGGCGTCGATGATTCTGCCGCGATCTGTCCCACGCAGCCTGTCGAGAGCCGCTCCCTCTGTCCGTTCACAAGTTTCCAAGGCTGCCACGAGATGCATGCATCAGAACTCCCCGATCACAGCTTCTCCTCTTCGACGTCGGCCAAATACGCAGCAATGGAGTCTTAGACTGCCAGCCCCGGTGGTTTCCCTAGGGCGTCGGACCATGTTCATTCAGACTGAGTCAACGCCAAATCCTGATGTGAGCTTGCAGCGCATTGTCGCAAAGACCATCAACGCTGACTTTGGAAGGCCCTCAAATTCAATCCGAACCAGCGAGTTATGCCAGAATCAATATCGTCCCCATTCCTCGAATATCTCACACCTCGGTCAACCTTGGCCCCGCCTCATCCTTCCCCGCTCGCGGCGAAACTCTTGAACATCGATGGAGTCACATCTGTATTCTTTGGCACAGACTACATTACCGTCACGAAAGACAGCGCCACGCCATGGGCACATGTTAAACCGGAAGTCTTTGCCATCATAAACGAGTTTATGCTCTCTGGGCAGACCATCGTTAACACTGTAGAGGATACGGCTGGAGAGAGCGGCCAGGAAGGAACCGAAATGGATAGCTTGGCGTACGACGAGAACGACAGTGAAGTGGTTGGCATGATCAAAGAGCTGTTGGACACGAGAATTCGTCCAGCAATCCAAGAAGATGGCGGTGACATTGAGTTCCGAGGGTTCCACGAAGGGCAAGTTCTGCTCAAGTTACGCGGGGCATGTCGGACATGTGACTCGAGTACGGTAACACTCAAAAATGGCATCGAGAGTATGCTTATGTGAGTCAAATCCCCCCCAAAATGACGACATTCCTGTACCTAACGATACTTACAGGCATTATATCGAGGAAGTTCAGGGCGTTCAGCAGGTTATGGACCAAGAGGAAGAAATCGCCATTAAGGAGTTCGCCAAGTTCGAAGAGAAACTGAGGCAACAAAAAGGTCCCAATGCCGCTCCTTCAACAGTCGGCAAAGGCAGCTTAGACACTGTGGAGGGATAGCTCAGGGCACTCTATAAAATAAAGGCTTTCTCTTTCAACATACGATCGCGATGTTTGGTGTTGGGTGCTGGTGCTATCCACGCTAGCGGCACAACCGAACTTTCCAACATCTTGCTCTCCATCTACCACCAATTTTTCACCACTCCTCTCAAGTGGGCCTCTTGACACCTCGTCCCGTTGATTCATACATCAAGCAAACCAACATCCATGAAAACACATGCATTATACCGTGTGGGTGTAAATCGGATAACAAGGATGTTACGTGGGCCAGTAATTCACTTTTTCTCAATATTTCCTGAATACTATGGGTTAGTAAGTTTTACTCTATTCCGGCCATATTCCGTGGCTTATGACGACTTAGACAGACTATTGGATTACTACCCCTCCGAAGGACGAGGAAAACCCACTCCTAGTTTGATCTGTGATAACAGCAGCTAGCTATACTGGATAATTGTTTAAGAATTAAAGCATGCCATTTTGACGGGAGATTCCATAGAGAATCACAAATATGTTTATATATATTCACTTCGCCCCACCTAAAGCCCTGCAAGTGTTCTTGCTCGATATAAATGCGCCACAGCCAAGTTCAAAGTTTCGTGTTCGATCGATCATTGATCAGAACCTCACCATTTTTTATCAGAAGGTGTCCCGGTGTCTAAGTGGAGCGATAGCTATGCTCAGTCCTTATCATGCGGAGACAGTTATAAGAGGTGTATTTACATTTATAACACACACTCTTTTATAAACCTTAATATAGATAAACTCTATTAACGTACCTCACAGGTGTGCCGGCCACTCTGCCAAGTGTAACGATGTGCTCGAATCGTTCCATCTCGGGTTTCCCGAAGGTTCCTCGTATCTGCCACGACCCTGACCTGGCCCCTCTGTACCCTATTCTCCTAAGTATTTAGTCGCACCTCCCCCCTTAGCTAGCTTGGTAGTTTTCTAATATCCTCCTGTACAAGGCCTATAGGTGTCAATGGAATTCCCAGGTTTCTGAGTCCCCACGCACTGCCATATGCCTCTGAGTGTAACGATTCGCTTGAATCGTTCCATTCAAAGTTACCTGGCGAACCTTATATCCAAAGGTTCCTCGTATCTGCTCCGACCCGGCCCTGTCCACTGCTATACCCCTATTCCCCCAAGTATTTAGTTGCACCTCTCCCCTTAGTTAGCTTAGTAGTTTTCTAATATCCTTTTGTACAAGGCCTAGGTGTTAATAGCATTCCTAGGTTTCTAAGTCCCCACGCACTCCCATATGCCTCTGAGTGGATTCATACCGCATTCGGACCCATTGTCTTGCCTGTGCCGTTACACTAAGTGGATTCACACCGCATTCAAACCTGTTGTCTTGCCTGCGCCGTTACAATTACTATATCCTGTAGTTCTTTGCACAGAGAGGGAATGCAGGATAGGGGGGTAACGAGAGTAAACCTTAGGGTCGGAGGCAGAGGTACGGAGGCCGAGGAGCCTATATACCCCGTGCCAAGCCTAGGTACTCAGGGGTTGGATAGCTGTAACATAACCGTGACAATCTCCTAGTAACTGCTATCTAAATTTAGGCAGGAAGAAACCTATTAGATTCTATCTCTACATTAGGTTTTCTCTAGCTAATTAATGCAGCTTCTAGAATGCAAAAGTATACTTTAATCCTTAGTTT